TTTCCTTGATTGCATCCTGTGTGGATTGTCAGACGTCTATATCGTCTATATATCTCTCCATCAAATTGGACAGTTTTCACATCAAATCAACCCTTAAAAATGTAAATGAAGGTGTAACTTAGATGTAGATCGTATACTTCCAAGGCGGTCGGCCCACCTGCCCCGTGTTATCTCGGCAGAATTACCTCTCCACCATAAAGACACCGTGAACAACTTCAACGTCAACACTCAATTCCAACAACACATATAACAATCACCATGGATCCCTTTTCCGCAGAGGGCGGTACGTACTACAACCCTCCAGTCTCTCCAATCTCTCCTCCTCCTACATCAACTAAACCAACAACCCAGAGCTCCTCAACATCCACAGCGCCTTCCACTCAGGCCAATACCAGAACGTGATCGAATTCGACACCACTGCCCTCTCCCCCGAGAACCAACTCCCAGCCCAAATTCTCAAGCTCCGCGCCCAGATTGCCCTCGGCCAAACCGACGCCGCTCTCGCTGAGCCCGCTATCGAAGAGGATACCCCCGACCTGTCGGCTGTCAAGGCCCTTGCTCTGCAGTCCGCAGGAAAGACCGACGCTGCACTCCAACTTGCTCAAGAGCTCGCAGCGAATTACTCCGATAACAATACCGTGCAGGTCCTTGCTGGCACTGTTCTTCAGGCTCAAGGTCTTGGTGAGGAGGCGCTTGCTTTGTTGGCTAAGCACCAGGGGAATCTTGAGGCGTGAGTATACTATCGCAATTGATGAATTGCATTGAGGAATATGGAATTGGGCTGATCATTTGTCGCATGCAGTGTCTCCCTTATCGTCCAGATCCACCTTCAGCAGAACAGGACCGATCTCGCCCTTAAGGAGGTCCAGGCTGCTAAGCGCTGGGCTCAGGATTCGCTGCTTGTCAATGTCGCCGAGTCGTGGGTTGGCTTGAGAGTTGTATGTATACCCAGAATTTTCATTTATACTATACTGCTGGGAGTGGCGGATGGGTGAGTTACATGCATGTACTGACGTGGTTTCATTTGTAGGGCGGTGAGAAGTACCAATCTGCTTTCTACGTCTATGAGGAACTCGCTTCTGCGCCTAGCACTTCTGCGCCGCTCTCTATTGTTGGTCAGGCTGTTGCTGAGATTCATCTTGGTCGTTTGCCTGAGGCTGAGGCTGCTCTTAGTGCTGCGTTGGAGAAGTATCCTGCTGATGTGGAGTTGATTGCTAACAGTATTGTGTTGAATGTTTTGGCTGGTAAGCCTTCTGAGGAATTGGAGTCGTGAGTTGCCCTGTGTAAGGAGAAATAAAGGGGTTCGGAGCTAACCTTCCTACAGTCAACTACGGCAGATTCAGCCCTCGCACTCCCTTCTCACTGAAATCCAGGAGAAGAGCGAGTTGTTCGATGCCGCGGCGGCAAAGTACTCTGCCAAGGTCTCATCATAGAATGTTAATTAAGCCTGATCTTTCTGTTCTGTTTTGTTAGTCCAAGTCCGGGAGTTTGTCCTAGATTATGAAAAGACACGACCACTCAATCTTGCAACTATTGGCACTATACATTGGATATCTGATCTGTAGTATGTATGGCATAGCCTAAGAATGTACAACAACGCATAACACCAAATACTCAACTCGTACTAGACACTGCAAATAAAATCACAGACGAGCAGCCAGCCACTGTCGAAGCTCTGACCCTGTCTGCGTCTCTTCCTTGGTAGACAAGAAGAACGGCGCATCATGCGTCTCATCAACACCAACATAATAAATAGTCTCAGGGAAGACGGACTACAATAGAGATAAAAAGTCAGCTGAAACCACTCACAAAAAGGGGAATCAGCACATACCTTAATCTTCTTCGCAAATGCCTCGATAGGCGAAAGCAAAATCTCACACCCACCAACAAGAATCAAAATCTTCTCCGTCTTAGCACCCGCCCACAATTCAACAGGCGCAGTAAAAGGCTCATTCCACTGATCAGCAGGCTTGCCCCCACGATACGCATCAGACCAAGTAGTAAGCACATCAGCCGTCAGTATATCCCGCCACTGATTCTCCTTGAAGGACGGCCAATCAGTACTAAAGTTAACCCAAGGCGCGTAAGCAAACACGCCCGCCAACGGCGCGGATACAGCCAATGGCTCGATTTCCGGGTGTGGGTGTGACAGGTGCAGAAGGGTTGCCGTGGCTAGATTCCCGCCTGCGGAATCGCCACCTACGATTACGTTTGAGGGGGCTCGGTTTGTTGTGTTGAGGATGTATCGGAGCGCTTCGATTGCCTGGCGTAGCTGGGTTGGGTATTCGCCGGTTCCTGTTAGTGTGTAGTGCAGGAAGAAGACTGCTAGGTCGTGGCCGTTTTCGTTGAGTGCGCGCAGCATTTCGAGCCAGAATTCGAAGTGCGCTGGTACGGCGGGCATAGCGAATCCGCCACCTGATGGATGATAGTTAGGTTTGGGTTTTGGGTGGGTTGTACGGCTTGTAAGGGTGCATGTTGGATGTTGCTTGTTACACGTTACACCCGAGGGCATTCGGGGATTTGGGACGCACCGTGATAGTATACGATGACATTCTTGGCGTTCTTGTTGCCCAGCCAGTGGCCTTCTGCCCCGTGGGGGAGGGCGACTGTCTCTGGTTGGAGACCGCGCTTCTTCATGACTGCTGTATAGGTGTCTGAAGTTGGAGCGTTGAGGTACCTGTGGACCGAGGTTAGAACTGTAGTTCTGGATTTTTCGGGTATCGCTTCAAGGAAGATAAGGATTATGCATACTGCTTCTGCCGATCGGATGTACGGTCAACCAGCTTGCGGATCATAGCTGCCATGATGTGGTGGTCGTAGCGCTTAGGGCTGGCCTTACCCCGGAAAACTCCGGTGATAGCATGGTATAGAACACTGGCAAAGATTGACAGATGTGCTAAGGGTAGGTCTGCCTTCTCCCAAAAACCGAGCTGGGGAATACTGGACATTGTGACTGAAAAAAAAGAGGTATGAAAGGGAGAAAAAGAGAAAGAAAAGCGAGGCTGGAGATGTCCCCCCTCATTCTTCAGCTCGTGTGGGGAGATATGCGGAGTCGGTTGAGTAGCCGTGCAGATGTGCCGAGGGCCGTAAATTGAATTTGTTGCGCATGAACTTCTTTTTGGATTGAGGAAAGTCAATAACGCTGTTAATATGGACTTCCGGATTCAGCTGATGTCGTTTTACAGTAATGTTGAAATCGACTATAGAACACTATAGAATATGGCTAAGGTTACGGATATAGGGCTATTCGGATCAACTGTACGAAATTCGTATTGATGATGCTTCCAAGGGATATTTTGTGCGCAGTACACTTCATAGGTTTGCGCCGAACCCAGAACGGGAGATTTCATCTTGACGCCACGAATTAGGAACAATCTATTGATCATTGGACGCATTTTCCTCACCGGGCAACTCGCAGAACGCCTTGTAAGTGGTGAAGACATCATCTTCATCCTCTCCACTACCGGTATCCTCAATAATGCACTCGGCGGTGGCACCAACAAAGAAGACATAGCCTTCCTTGACTTCCTCGGTCTTGTTTCCGACGGTAATCTTGCCCTGACCACGCGTGCAAATGATAATGCTGGGACCGTCGATCGGGTCAAAAGTGACCTTGGCATCCTTGCGGTTCAGATCTGTCTTGACAACGCTGAATTCGTCGATTGGAGGGTCATAGAGCATGACAGATGACGCGCTCGAGTATGCAGTGGCGTTCAGGACGGCGTACGGGTAGTCCGTTGCTTGGAGCTTCTGTTCCTCGATAGGTGCATAAGAGTAGGTTAACATCTGGGTGAGGGTATCCACATCCTTGAATTTTGGAGTGAAGCCGGCTCGAACAACGTTGTCGGAGGAGGCCATGCACTCGATGATATCGCCGGAGATGTATGCATGAATATCGTCGGCCTTGAGGAACATGGCCTCGCCGGGCTGCAGTTTGACGAAGTTGAGGAAGAAGAATACGAACAAGCCGACGTCGTTAGGGAACTGGCCGTTCAGTCGCTTCACGAGGGCAGCCAGCTCGGTAGGGTTCGAGGGATTCGTCTCCACCTCACCGGGCAGGATGGCAAAGCTGTCAGGGGTGCTCTCTGCAATTGCCAGGAGATCGCTGGTGGCTGACTCGATGTTCTTGGGTGGGGATTCCATCAGGGATGTGAAAAGGGAGCGGAGGGCATCCTTGTTAGTTTGGATGACTGCGGAGTCTTCTGAGTCCTCGTTGCCCGTGACAGTCTGCTCAAATGCACTTGCGGCTTTTTCACCAACCAAGTTGCGCAGAGGCTTCACAGCCTGAAGGAAATGAGTAATCTCGGCCAAGGGACGGAAGCCACAAACGCCCTCAAACGGCGTGATGGCAATGGTCATCTCGGGTTTGTGGTTGTCATCTGATGGTGATCATATATGAGCACAATGTTCCATATTCATCCCCAGTCCATGCTTACCAGGGTAGTTCTTCGAGTCCCTCGCATGAAGCTGCTCGGCAAGCTTCTTGTTGGGGTGGGCCTGGATACTCAGGGCTTTGCGGATGGAAAGCACCTTGAACAAGAACGGGAGTCTGCCTCCAAATCGCTCGCTGATTTGTGTCGACAGCAGGGCCTGGTTGTCCTGCACCATATCGAGGAGGGTGCGCTGAGTCTCGACATCTTTGGAGGGAAGCGATGGGTGCGTGCCCATCCAGAGCTAGTAATATTGTGAGTCCAATGTTTCTGTTGGTTCATCTGAAGAGCTCACTTCGGCGTAGGGCTTCTCAGCCTCGATCGCAAAATCTGGGGCAGCTGTAGTGGCCGCATACTTGGCGGCTGTCGACTCTTGGCCGACCTTGCCTATGACGAGGTTCAGTGCGGGGCATTCATTGTCGCGCGTTGATACTTACCCCAGTCATAGCTGTTAACGCCTAGCAAACACGTTAGTGCTGGATTATATCTGGAGAGATGGTTCGGACTTACCGCATTGCAGACGAAGTAGTGGCACTTGCATCTTGAATGTTTGGGGAAAAGTTGGGGGAAGTGGAGGGGCAACGGCTTATTAGGAATTGCTCGCCAAGGCCCCGGTGAGAGATGGCCACGTTCAGGGTCTTTCTATGACAAACAGTGAATCAAGGATATTTCAAGGTAGATGAGGCAAGGGAATATCTAGAGGAAAGTGAATACTCTGGAGCATTCGAAGTATTTTTAGTTTCAATTGCCAATCCGGACTTCCGCATTCGTTGCAACTATGTACCTGTCCATGAACTATAAACACCGCATTAAGCCAACCTCGGCAAACAAACATCCTACTTAGTCTCTTAGCTTCTGAATATCGAAATATCTCAAAATGTCAATGCAATCCCATTGAACACTTGAACTTGTAGAAAGCTCTTGCATCATGGCCCAAAGCAGTTTAGCGTCACCCCGACCGCCCGGCAGGCGGGCTTATCACCGCATCTCCAACTTCATCTTCACATACCTTTGGTTACCGGGGGGTGGCGATTCTTCTTCTAGCTGCTCATATTAGCTATCTACCTCTACTCCAGCCTTCAACCATACTTTTTGGCCTCCCACATTGACTATGTCGCGCAACCGCCCCCGGCCCAGAGACAATGGGTTTGGCAATAATGAGGAACTGGAGCTGTGGACAAAGATTTGTCAAGATATCCGCAAATCCAAGGACAAGTTCGATCAGCAGACAACCTTGTCCCTGCAGATCAAAGCTTTGGTGGACAAGATCACCAACGACGGGAATAGTGAGTACATACTTACCCCCCCGCGTTTGATCCCCCGCTCTATACCGCACCAAGCTCCAATATCCGCCCCATAGCGCCCTATGAACATGTTTTCTCTTTTCATCACACGTACTAATATTGCGCTTCTAAGCAGGACCCACCATGACAGAACACGACCAGCTCGACAGCTGGCTGCGCCAAAGCCAGAAGCTCAGCGAAGAGGAACGCTCGATCATGCAAGATGAACCATGCGATGTAATCAAGAACCTAGAGTTGCTCACTGCTTTGCGCAAAGCATCCGAAGCCGAAGTCCCACCCAACCGATCTTCTTCTTTCAACAAGTCCCGCAAGAAGCGAAATGAAGTCGAAGGCTCCGCTACCGATTCTCCTGGTGCCTCGGGCGCTGACAAGTCTGCTCGCTCTAAGGGTATCGTTCCGCGCAGCGCAAGCGTCTCAAGTACACCAGCTCGCGAAAGCCGCAATGATGGCATTGCGGTCAAAGTTGAGGAAGGGTCCGAGGGTACTAAGGGCACCGTTGCGGAACGTAATGGTCTGCTGGTTGTCGGCGCTCAGGTTGTGTTCAAGCACAATAAGAATAAGCAGGGTGTTGAGGGCGAAGGTATCCAGTGTATAATCAAGAACATCACTGGCGATGGGCAAAAGAAGCGGTAAGCCAGGCCTTATGTTCAATTTCCCTTTATTTCCCACTGACCGATTGCTGACATCTCATCCAGGTATGATGTCCAAGACCCGGAGCCAAATGAGAATGGCGAGCAAGGGGCCGTCTATAAGACGACCGCGGTCTCTCTCATCCCGATCCCCCAGATGAGTGCCCATCTCACCCCCTACCCGGCAGGCAAGCAGGTTCTGGCGAGATACCCTGATACCACGACATTCTACCGGGCGGAGGTGATGGGGTCTAGGAAAGACGTGTACCGCCTTAAATTTGAAGGCGAAGAGGACGACAAGGAGATGGAAGTCGACCGGCGGTTTGTCTTAGACATCCCGGGTAAGTGAGAGATGTTTCTATGATCTGATATGATGAGATGATACCATTTGAGCGAGGCGCTATCTGGAGTTTGAAGGCTTATGGATGCTTTCATCTTTACTAAATACTTTAGAAAACAATTTTCTTTCAGTATTTACTTCTGCGCACATAGCCTAAGTAGTGTTTACCAGGGATGTTTATAAGAGGATATTTCTATAAACTTTTGAAGAAATGTAGGGCAAAAATAGGTCTCTAAGCTAGTGGAAGCAGTGGGAGACTAGTACGACTGTGTGTATAATCTTCTTTCACGACTATCCCCTATAGCCTTTCATATTCTCTATTCTATCATTTATGCAGTCAGTTCACTGCACCAAGGTGAGATTTCAAGCCCAATGGAACAGTGGCCTTGGTCCAGTCACAATGGCTACACTTTAACCATCTCACCCGCCTCTTCCCCCATTCTCATCACATCTTGCCCAAAACTCAACTTTTCCGCCGCGTCTGTCGATGTATCTTCGATACTCTAATGTAAATTACAGAAGCACGCTTAGGTTCTCACAGTGTTGTGGACTAAACTAAGACCATCGTCCATTACGACATGAATAGACCCGGTATATCGTGAAAAAAATCTGACGTCGGCGTTTTTTTTTGCCGATATTAGTCTCATATCCTTGGTTGTGCTGTTTCGTTGCTTTTCTTTTCGTTAAGCTCTGATTACCGCTATAAACCTTCAAATTTACTGGAATCGTCGGTATCATATTTATTTGCAAACTCAAATCAATTCTCGAGCTTCACTTTGAAGTACACTATAAGTACGTTATAGCTACCGAGATTACTATACAATCACTCCTGTTCTTGGCGGTGTCCCAGTAGTATCAGGGGTTAGGATAAAAATAGCCTCGGTATTGTGCTAGTAAATTCCTCGTGTGTCTTTTAACTGTCTAGTGGCCCGGCAGTAAAAAGTATTTCGGCTTCCAACATTTATATTCAGCATTAAACTCTTTGAGAGATACACTGAAGTTTCGAACCAACAGAGCTAGCTACGACTTCCACAATCTACAATGGCTCAGATTTGCTTGACTGGCGCTTGCCTCTGCAAGAGCATAGCATACCATATTATTTTGCCCGCATCGGAGTCATTCCCTAAAGTATGCATTATCTCCCACTACTCAAATTGGAAAGTTTCCATTCGCTTACTGACGATGTTGCCAGGTGATCATCTGTCACTGCACCAATTGCAAACGCTATACCGGCTCCAGCTTTTCCGCTAATATTATCGTGCCGCAATCTGCTTTGAAGTACATCAAGGGATCACCCAAGTTGTACTCGGATCGCAGCAATAAGGGCGGGCAGGTATTGCGCGAGTTCTGTTCTGATTGCGGTACGCCATTCACATCACGATCAAGCGATGAAAAAGAAGTCATCGCGGTCAAGTCGGGAACACTCGATGAAGAGCACCGACTTAATTGTGCGACATTAGCAACAGAAATCTACTATCATCGAAAGGATAAGTGGGTAGATGAAATGGGAAATGAGGACGTTCAGAGGATCAATGGTAGCATGGGCGTCTAAAGAGAGAAATTTAAACCTCTTGAGGAGTTATCAGAGAGAATCTGGGTAATCTTCGGTGTTCAGTGAGCACAAATTTCTTCACTAGTAGGTATAACATAAGCAAGTTGCAAGTCATATAATCGCGGAACAGTCGCGCTATCTTGCTTAGTCTCAGCTTTGCATGTTTTGCCTCGAATACGCACGAGGTGGTATTGGTAGGCGGGGAATTCGCACAATTCTTACAACAGCAGACACATTGCTTCTGCCAAAATGGAGTAGTCAATTGAGAACACCTAGCTAAGTCCTGAGGATGATGGCTGCCTGGTGCAGTTCCATGCCAGAGATGGTTGCTTTGACTAGGGCGCTATTTCATACTTCCGTTCGCTCTCTTTGTTCGTTCTGGCCCGAGAATGCCTGAACATAACGCAATGATGATAGGCAGTGCTACATCTTCACGTAGGTCGCTATGCCATGGATCTATATAAGTAACTATTCCTGTATCTTTTCTCCTGGCGCCATATCCTCTTGGAGTTGCGCAATTTGTTTCCTGGAGATAGTAGACAACGTACAGTCTAGATTATATGAGACTGATGCAGTCGTTTACCCTCTATTTTCAGTATTCCGCCGTTGAGGAGACCTGTGATGAATTGGAGGCCTGGTGGTTCAAATAGGTTGAGGGTTGGTATAGGTTGACACCCAGACAAGAATCATGGGTGATAGGCTGTAGCCTAAGGACACTTGGTTTATGGGTCTAGCATCAGCTGGCGTAGGGAGCACAGACGCCCCCTTGAAGAAGTTGGACTTTCGAAATATATTGTATAAACATGAAACATGTAGAGGATAGGAGATAGTTAAGTAGATGCTTGGTAGAAAGTGGGTCTGGCCTCGGGGGATCTCAGAATGTGCTAGAGTAAGCACTGACAAATGACTCAGCCTCTCCTCATGCCGAGGAAGTCGCCATCTACTTCACTTTTCCATATTATCACGTCGGTCTTGTTGTATGTGTTTGCTCTCCTCAATTGGCACTCCCTGCATACTTGCATATTAGAGCTCTGGCCGAGACTCTCAAATCCGACACGTCCCAACTACCCCGCCTCTCCGCCGCAATGGCCGATCTACCAGCACACGCCTCGCCAAAGCTCCCCCCACAATCGCTTCCTGGCGGATTATCAGACAATGTGAGCCAGGCAAGTAGCACAACTGGCGAACACACGCCGGCCCTACCGGAGTCTCTGCTATCACCAGCATTTACCCCACCCGCAACCCCCGGGGGCACAGTGCATCTGGATTTGAACCCCACGAAAGTGCTACACCAACAGCAGGCAGCAGATCTCGAACATAAGAGTGGTCACGCGAAGGGACCCAAATTGCTCCCGCAGCTCCCCGAGGTGGAATGTATCGTTCGGGCGCGGATCCCGACAACCAATGGCGCGGAAATGTTCCTTCATCTTTACCACAACGATCTAGACGGAAAGGAGCATTTGGCAATTGTCTTTGGAAATAACATTCGCAGTCGGAGTTTGGATAGCGTTCGGCCGGGGGAGACCGAAATGGACCGAATGATCCGCGGCGCATACGTGGGGAAATTGCACCCGGGAAGGGTTAGCAGCAGATATGATGACGAGAAGGCTGGATCGGCTTTCACGCCAAAATTGGTTGAGCCCCCGTTGGTTCGAATTCATTCGGAGTGTTATACAGGAGAAACGGCGTGGTCTGCACGGTGCGATTGTGGCGAGCAGCTGGATGAGGCGGCGCGCTTGATGTCTTTCCCTGTTGAGGATCTTGCTTCCGATGCGCCGCCAGAGGCACAGTCTCTTCAATCACATTCCACCGGTGGTGTGATTATCTACTTGCGACAGGAGGGTCGAGGTATTGGTCTCGGAGAAAAGTTGAAGGCATACAATCTTCAGGATCTCGGCTCTGATACTGTGGAGGCCAACCTGCTACTTCGTCACCCGGCTGATGCCCGAAGCTACGGTCTCGCCACTGCTATGCTGGCTGACCTTGGTTGCGGCGCAGATTCTATCCCAGAAGGAATCCGTTTACTCACAAATAATCCCGACAAGGTCCGAGCGATTGAAGGACCCAACCGGGAAGTTCTCGTGAAGGAGCGAGTCCCGATGATTCCATTGGCATGGCGCACTGGTGGTCAGAGGGGAATCAAGAGCTCTGAAATTGAGGGCTACTTACAGACAAAGGTATGCTCGCAACCAATTGCTGTTCCGAGCACGAAACTAACGGGCAATAGATCTCGAAAATGGGCCATATGATCCAGTAACCTCTCATTGATTTTGGACTGTTGTCTTTCTTTCTTCACTCATTCCCCCTTCTGCTTTCTTGCATTGGAAATTCCAAAAGCCTTTGTATACGATCGACACGAACTTATCTCCTTGCATATTCTCGATCATTATATGTTATATACGGCGCTGATATTGTACATGTTGTAAATTTGCGGTCTATCTTTTGAACGTGCTTAGATACAAGGGACAATTGGAGTATATCTATATAATTATATTCTCTTAAGTGGTCGTGCCGACTGTGTAGATAGCCCCCAACTTTAAAAGGTTGACATTTCGCTCCACCCACCCCCGACGATCTCCACGTTCGCCCTACGGATCTTCTCGACATCTCATCTCCCGTTGAATGGATCGAACCCGCTAGCGCCTGTATAAGGCCATGGCCAACCGTCCTCCAGCCGATGTGGCGCTTTCACCCGACATGCCCGGACCTCCTACCCCCTCCTTGGACAGACTCGAAGACTCGCCGGTTCCTTCGCGCGCGACATCACTGGATGCAGATACCCTGTTGCAAGAGAGCAATGGCGCGACATCAGGGCGGAAGCGCAAGCTCAATAGCATGTCATCACGGGGCGTCGCCAACCTTACCCCAGACCAGCTCGCAAAGAAGCGCGCCAACGACCGCCAGGCGCAGCGCGCAATCCGAGAACGCACCAAGGGACATATAGAAGCTTTAGAACAGCAAGTCCGGGACCTTTCATCTCAAAAACCATACCTCAACCTCCAAGCAGCTCTGCGCCAGAATGAGGCGATCCGGTCGGAGAATAGAGAGCTCCGGCAAGGGCTGAAGGCGGCAATGGATATTATACAGCCATTGCTTGCGAGGCCGGAAATATCAGGTAGGTTGCGTATGCCAATACTATTCGAGCACCGAGCTGACGACAATAGATGCACCCCCTAGTCTCCCTATACCCAAGTCCGCCCCGCCCCCTGCACATACACCCCCGTTCCCCGACACCGATAACTTCACCTCCAATTCCCAAGGTCCACTTCCAGGCGACAAGTCGTATGCCGACTCGAGTGCCAGCATTGATACACCCTCTCCAACACAATCTGCCCCGGCATCAGTGGGTCGCCGGAGCAGTTCCAATTGCGGCCCTCCGCCGGCCTCTTTCCGCGTCGCATTGGACTCGCAGCGCCATAACACCACCCATGGCTTAGACCTTGGCTCGGAGGAGCGACTAGGCTTTAACTTCCTATTGGATTCGTCCCGTACTGTTCCCAAAGTCGACCGTCTTCGCCGCGGCAGCTCAGAGAACTTCCGCTCTCACCCAAATCCTCCGTCACCAATATACCCACAACCACTGAATACGACCAGCGAACATGGCACCCCTGCATTCGCTGCCCCGATACAAAACTTGACCGCAACATGTCCCTTGGATACTATTCTTCTGGAGTTCCTCCACAGCCGACAACGCGAAGCCGCACAAGGCATCCCCAGACAGAAACTAGTGGGGCCACCATACCCAAGTGTCTCCTCACTATTGAATCCAGACAAAAGTGTCTACTCCCACCCGGTCTCAAAGGTGTTCACGGATATCCTACGTGCATTCCCTGATATTGCCTCCCTACCGGAGCAAGTCGCTGTGCTCTATACCATGTTCCTCCTCATGCGCTGGCAGATTTATCCCACGCAAGAGAACTATGAACGTCTCCCGGAGTGGCTCACACCACGTCCAACGCAACTTCTCCATCCACATCCAGCTTGGATGGATTATGTGCCTTGGCCAGGGATGCGTGACCGGATTGTCACAACATACCAGAACTATCCGTTCGAGAATTGGTTTATCCCATTCACTCGTGGGATTTGTGTTAATTGGCCGTATGAGTCCACGGATTGCTTATTGTCGGCTGGTGACTCGGACGAGCTGGTTATCAATCCTGTCTTTGAACGGCACATGCGCAACCTGAACAATTGGTCTTTGGGGACATTCTTTGCGGAGACCTACCCTGCTTTGGCGGACACGGCTCAAATCAAGCCGAAAGAGCAAAGTTCAACGCCGCGCCCACAGTAGATCTTATAATCTGTCATTCGCCTCTGACAGGGAGGCCCTGTTTCGTGGAAAATTGGCGCTGTTTGAGTTGGGTGTTTGTTTACTTTGTATCTTACTTTTGGGGGCGTTGGAAAACAGGAACAGATATCAACATTAGGCCACAGGCGACATGGCCATACAAGAGTCGCCAATAGAATTTCGGACCGGAATATTCCACAGAAAACTTGATCAAACCATCTATTCTACAATCCAGACCCCTAATTCCCTCTATCCTTTCCTACTCTTCTCATTCCAGAACTCCAAGCCAGCCTTCTGTCGCAATGTTCCATACATGGCACTGCTATCAAGACACTCACCACCATATTCCCTAGCAGCCTCCATATTAGCACGAGCAAGCTCAAGACAAGGAAGCTGAACTCCCCGCTCCTCAGCCATCGCCATAGCATGTCTAGCATCCTTGATAGCAAGCGAAACGCCAAACCCAGGACGAGAGTCCAAAGACGGCGCATAAGCACCAGTAGTCAACCTATCAAAAAGACATCAGAATCCACGAACCCAACACCAGATAACGTGATACTAAAAAACATACCTCTTAGAATAACCCCCAGCAACAGGCCCAAACGCCTCCCCAATAAGCTCCTCCATAGGCCCAGTCCCCAGCCCAGTCTTCTCAGCAAAAACCTGCGCCTCGCCAACAGCCTCCATCATATTAACCGTAACGATATTACCGGCAATCTTGAGAAGCGAGGACTTGGTCGCGTCTTCGCCGCAGTCAATCACCCGGCGACCCATCACATCCTGGATCAAAGGCTTAACTACCTCTGTTGCATGCCGAGGACCGCCAATTGCAAAGACCAGCTTGCCGTCTACGGCAATGGGATTCCCACCGAAGACGGGCGCTGCTACGTACGATGCGCTCTTGGCTTTGAGATCTGATACGGCTGTGCTCACGGTTTCTGGGTGCACTGTTGAGCAATCGACGAAGATCTTGTCCTTTAGGGAGTGGCCTGAGCTTGTGGCTTGGGATAGGAGGCTTTGTAGGACCGAGTCGTTTGAGACCTGGGGGTTTGTTAGTAGATTGTGGGTTGGATATGGGTTTGATATTGATTACCATCGTGAAGATGATTCCGCAGTTGGAGACTAGTTTTGAGAAATTGGTTTCTGGGATTCCTCCCAGTGCTTGCAGCGGAGCTCCGCGCGACATTGTGCGGTTGGAGTAGAGTAGGCTCAGCGCTTTCTTGGTTGCTAGGTGCCTTTGTAGGTTGGAGGCCATCGCTAGACCCATGGACCCGAGGCCATACTGGGAGTTCATTAGTTGTTTGGTCTGCATAGGTGCGGTGAGTACTTACCCAGCCGATTTGTGGCATGCTTGTGTTGTTTGATCGAGGCTGTGAGATGCAATTGGCGATAACTTTACAGGATGGACAGCCGATCAGGTAGGTTATACCCTATGGGCAGAGTAGGAAGTTGTGGTGGTCCGGGGTAGAGATGGTGGAGCGGCACGTTTCCGAGGATATCGGAGTCGGCCGACAGGATGTTCTCCCACGTTTGACCTGGCTAGATCGGAGTCTATAGAGATATCTTGTCATGCTAATACGTAGTTGAGATTTGAGGCAATTCCATGTGTTGACCTGCCTCCTGCAAGGCGTTATACATGTATCATGTCAAATTGAATGCATACACCATCCCACCCCACTATTCACAACCATTCACAAATTTACGAGTCCAAATACCCTCATTTTCTCCCTCAGCTTCGTCTTCTGGAGCTTGTTCAGCCTGAAAATGTGTTGATGCCGTTACGTATGGTCATACCTGCGGCTCGCCCCCAGTTGTGGGGGGAATATCAGGTACGGTATGGTCACGTAAGTTATGATGCTCCGTCCGTCGTCGGGTTCGACTTCAAACATCCCCAACTCTCCTCCTCCCTTGAACCCTTCCAATTCCGCTCTTCTTGGGAGCTCCCAGAACTTCACTCCCCGACACTCCCATCTCATTTGTCACATTTCCAATTCCTTCAATATGGCGGATATGCCCATTGGTACACCTCCCCAGGCTACCGTGTCCCAGCTTCCCAAGCTAATAAGCTAACCACTCTGCAGTGCTCGATGGAGGAACTGGTTTCCTCAAGGTCGGCTATGCCGCCCAGGTATGTCGCATAGCCTTCTCAACACTGTGATAATCTTCTCTAATTCATATTCCTGTCAGAACTTCCCGGAGCATCAGTTCCCCTCGATAGTGGGGCGGCCCATCTTGCGAACGGAGGAGCAGTCAAACGACTTTGTCCTCAAGGATATCATGTGCGGAGATGAAGCCGCTGCCGCACGATCTATGCTCCAGATCAGCTATCCTGTACGTCTACAGACTTGTCCCTCACCGTCATACCCCGCCGTCTCCGCAGACGTTGTTGTCGATGCCTAACCCGCGCTGCTATAGATGGAAAACGGAATTGTCAAGAAGTGGGACGACATGCAGCATCTATGGAACTACACCTTTTACGATAAAATGAAGATTGACCCTGCGGGTCGCAAGATTCTCCTCACGGAACCCCCGATGAACCCGCTCAAGAACCGCGAGCAGATGGCTGAGGTTATGCTGGAGGGCTATGGATTCGGTGGTGTCTATGTGGCGATCCAGGCGGTGCTGGCACTGTATGCCCAGGGTATGTAGTGCGAAGGTGGAACCGATTCTGGTGATAATGCTGACGGGGGGTGCTATAGGTCTGAGCAGCGGAGTGGTTGTGGATTCCGGTGACGGTGTGACGCACATTATCCCCGTGTACGAGTCGACCGTGCTGAACCACCACATCCGCCGTCTGGACGTTGCCGGCCGCGATGTCACCCGCAACCTGATTGCGCTCCTCCTGCGCCGCGGCTATGCGCTGAACCGAACCGCCGATTTCGAGACCGTGCGCCAGATTAAGGAGAAGCTCGCTTACGTCTCTTACGATCTCGAGTTGGACAAGAAGCTGTCGGAGGATACCACCGTTCTCGTCGAGTCGTACACCCTCCCCGATGGCCGTGTCATCCGCGTCGGCAGCGAACGCTTCGAGGCTCCCGAGTGTCTGTTCCAGCCGCACTTGGTTGATGTTGACCAGCCCGGTATTGCTGAGATGCTCTTCAACTGTATCCAGGGTGCCGATGTCGATGTTCGTTCCAGTCTATACAAGGCCATTGTGCTCAGTGGTGGTAGCAGCATGTACCCCGGTCTGCCCTCGCGGTTGGAGAAGGAGCTGAAGCAGCTCTGGCTTACTCGGGTATTGGGTGGAGACCCAGAACGTCTGAACGTATGTTCAAGTAACACAGATCAACGTATGAAGTTGGCTAATGATCTCCTAGAAATTCAAGGTCCGCATCGAAGATCCCCCTCGACGGAGACACATGGTCTTCCTGGGTGGTGCCGTACTCGCCAACCTGGTATGTCTATCTTCCCCGTTGCCTTTCACCCAGAGCCCTACTAACACCATCCCTCTAGATCGCCGACAAGGAAGATATGTGGGTGAGCAAGCAGGAGTGGCAGGAACAGGGTGCCCGCGCCCTAGACAAGCTCGGCCCGCGATAAACGCATTGTATTTAGGCGGTTTCGGTTCCAGTTCTTGCTCTGCTCCTTATTTCTCTCTGGTTTCTTGCTTCGCATTGTTTGCAAGCCATGTTGTCCTCTGTCTTTTCTCTTATCCTCACTTCTTCTTCCCCCCATCCTTGTCGATATACTCCCGTCAATCTTGCGGCTTTTCCACTGTCTCTTTTCCTGCTTCCTACAATTGTACCTAGACTGGTCTGGTGCCGGTGGATCTGGGACTCTTATGACAGAAAAGAACTAAACATTTCTATTCGCTGGTTTGGTCTTGTAGATATTGTCTGTAGGTTATGGGGGGTTGTTAGCAACGTTTTATGATACGAGTTGCGCTATTCGAAAGTGAAGATGTCATGGATGTCAGTAGTCTGTCTAACCGTATCATATTCAGCCGAAGTATTTATGATGTATTTATAAGAGCCTTGAAATTTTCAACTTAGGAGGTAAGCGTACAGGAGCGCAATAGACAAATATCTCTCAGTAAGAAATGACCTAAAGATGGAAGTCCATCCTAACGTATGTATAAAGCAGCAGAATACAATCCAAAGACGCAAAGATGCTATGAACGCCGAATGAGGAGATGCACAACAAGATAAGATGAATAACCTGCCCACTGTTCAATCCACCTATACATTAATATGCAATTAACCCTCCACAGCACCGGGCGAGACAGCCAAAATAACCGCAAGCGCAGCAATAATCAGCGCAGCAGCCACAAATGCCGTAAGTGCTATACTGCCACGACTAGCAGGGAACTTCCCGCGGATAATCCAATATTGGCTCTCGAAGTAGCGGTGGAAGCCGACTATCAGAATGAGGATCGAGACGCCGATGAATGTCGAGCCGAGGGGTTTGCCCACGCTGCGGAGACGGGCGGAGGCGGATGATGTGTGGAATGCGGCTGAGTCGTAGGAGAGGTTCGGTGGGAGGATGGCCGGGTTGGCACCATTTATGTTATAGGCATTTGGGTTTGTATTCGTGATGGCAGTATTTAAGCGGAATAGTTGGGTTACTGCGATGCCGATTGAGGCGAAGGCTAGAGAGGTGCGCATCCATGCTAGGAAGGTTCGTTCTGTTGATCTTGTTAGTTTTGGAGGTATGTCTGAAGGTTGTAGTTGCGTGTAGTTTGTACCTAATGCAAGATGGTCCCGCGCAACGCTGCCCTTGTTTTCCAGTTCGAGGCTGCCGTATCGGTCTGCTAATTTGCTATACCAGGACTGCTGGGGCTTGGGTGGTGAGTCCTGGTTAGTCGACTGGCTGGTGCCATTGCCGGTGTTTGCGTTATCTGGGTTTAGGCTCTTGTGTTGGGTGCTTTCGGCCCGCTCGGTAGATTGATAGTTGCGCCTCGCGGAATCAGCCGCGTTAATCGGAGTGGCTTCGGTGGACTGAGAGCTCTGTTGTTGGTTCGAAGGGCGTGCATGCGTTCGGGAAGAGCTTGAGTGGGACCGGGCACTGCCGACGGAAGAGGACAGGGCTGAATCGGTGTTGGTAGGCGAACGAGAGGACTGGATGCTTCTAGCTCCGTTGCTCTGGCCTGTCGGAGGCGAATCAAATGTATTCATTATGGCGTGATCATTTAATCAGTCGGACTGTTTTGTCCAATCCCGAGGGGAGAGGGACCGTGTTTATGCACTGAGGCACCAGGGACTCCTTTTGCGAAAACGAAAAGTGGTTTTTGCTATGCGGTGCTCGCAGGGAGACAGAATGCGATCTGTCTATCTTATGTCGAAGTTCTGGTATCTGTCAGTGTCAATCTGCGCTGCTCTGACTGCACTGTGCCGCTGTGACCTCGCGCAAAGCGTGCAATGATCTCCGCACGTGATTCTGGGGAAGGGTCCACTGCAACCCACTTGGGTTTAATCGGTAGATCACTATGAATTGAAGATGATGGATCAAGAGCTGGATGGAGATGATTCCATGATCTGTGTAGATGTTCAAGTCAACATCTCTTCTAGCACGCGAGAGTCACTACTTATCAGAACCCTAACAAATGGCGTCATGTTCTGTTTGGGTAGGCGGTCAGAGCTGTTTTATGCCATCTGTTGATCGCCACCTTTCTCCCCTCCTCGCTCAACAAACATACAAGCATGGCATCACAGACCTCTCCTGGGAAGGTCGATCTTTCCAAGAAGCTTTCAGAGTTGCGGTCAAATAACCGCCGGCCACAGACCAACGCCCGAGACCAAACCCCAACAACCCCTCCTCTCCCTTCTCCTCCAGACCTCTCCGCCCACCAGTATCGCCAACCAACTCGTCGGATCCTCTCCCACAAGGATCATGAACTCTTTCTCTCTTCACCAACCTACAATCTAGTACTTGCGTTTGTCTTCGGACTAGCCGACTCCGTCCGCGGGCACTCTGTCACCGACCTTCAGAAAAAGCCCCAGTCCGAATCCATCTCCAAGATCTTCTCGGTCGTAACTCAGATCCGGGCCCTCCTGACCAGAAACCCTGCAATCGACCAAGGTGGATCGCGGTTCGGTAATCCCGCTTTCCGTACCTTGTTCGACGATGTTGCCTCTCAGAGCGCCTCATGGCACACCAATATCTTGGGGCTGAAAGATACCGCCGCAACCGAGGAGGCCTCCACATACCTGATTAACTCTCTGGGATCAAAAGACCGCATTGACTATGGCTCAGGGCATGAATTGAACTTCATGATGTGGCTGCTATGTCTGTACCAGCTCGGTCTCCTCCCGGCCTCGGACTTCCCTGCCGTGGTGGTCAAGGTCTATATCGAGTACATGCATCTCATGCGCGAAATACAGTCCACTTACTACCTCGAGCCTGCTGGTTCACACGGTGTGTGGGGCCTGGATGATTATCATTTCCTTCCGTTCTTATTTGGCGCCAGTCAATTAGTCGGCCATGGGTATATCACTCCATTGGGTATCCACAATACAGCTACATTGGATGAGGAGGGTGATAATTATCTCTATTTGGACCAAGTTCGGTGGGTCGATAGTGTCAAGACCGTCAAGGGTCTACGCTGGCACAGTCCCATGCTGGACGATATTTCCGGAGCCAAAAATTGGTTCAAGGTCGAGAGCGGTATGAAGAAAATGTTCGTCAAGGAAGTGCTTGGAAAGCTTCCTATCATGCAACACTTCTTGTTTGGGAGCCTATTGCCTGCCGCTGAAGGCATGAGTGACCCCTCCGAAGGCGATATTGAGCATGACGGCCACGACCATGCCCACGGTCACGATCATGGACACGACAGCGCGGACTGGTTTGGCGACTGCTGTGGTATCAAGGTACCCAGTACCGTGGCTGCGGGCGCAGAGATGCGCAAGCGTATGGGTGGATCAAACCTGCGCCCAATTCCTTTTGATTAGCAGGGTGTATGTTACGATAAAATAATGATAGAATATTGAAACAATTATCCAGACACACTTGATCTTCCGCAAATGTAACTGAGCGTGGTCTATAGCTCCTCTAGCTGGTCTATAGAAAAGTCCCCACCGCCTCTGATTGGCCCACTCCAACCTCAACTCCAACTCACTCCGTTTCCAACACCCAACTCAAGCAAATATCAAGTCGTATCATCTACGAAGAATGAACCTCCAAAATCAACCTTACCTATAACCCCGAAACCCAAAAACCGAAATCAAAACCAAAGCGACCGCCCACCCCTCTCTTACTCCGCACGCGCAACTCTAGCGATCCCCATCTCCGCCCATCTTCAAAAAGCCGCACCGCCAAACGCAAAAAAATACAAGGAAGAGCACACGTCATCCTCCTTTACGCTCCGACATCCAAACGCAATTCGACCCACTCATGGCGGGCGACGAGTACTCCATCGGTGGCGGCAAGCTCAAGCTCAAGGGGAGCAAGGTTAGTGGAGGACGGATAGAGAAGAAAAAGAAGAAGAGTTCGAAGAAGAAGGAGGAGGGTTCTGGGACTCCTGGGACTCCTGGGACTGGTGATGTGACGCAGAAATCGGCTGTTGAGACGAGTGATCCCGCAACGCCGACTGATTCTAAAGTGGAGAAGCGCGATGATAATGACAATGACGATGGTGATAAGGAGCGCGAGATTGGGGGTGGGAAGACTGAGACGGAGAGAAAGTATGAGGAGATTCGGCGGAAACGGGTATGTTTCTCTTTCTCTTTCTTTTCTTTTCCTTTCTTTTCATGAAAGCGTTTGGCTTGATGTGGCTTTGTTGGACATCTTCAACTGACTTACTGGGTTAGTTACATGAACGACTTCAGCGGGAAGGCGTCAAGACTCATAAGGAGCGGGTTGAGGAACTGAATAAGTATCTCAGTCGGTTGAGTGAGCATCACGATATGTATGTCTTTCTTTTTCTTTGTTGCTTTGTTGCTTTGTTTCACTTACATGGGTGTTTGCTAACTAATTACAGGCCCAAGATTGGACCGGGTTAAATGGTTGTTTGGCTTCAATGGGTTTAATGCATGAGCTTAAGGCTTAGATACAAACCAGTACCTGCATTTCTGTACTTTTACCAATGTTTCAATTTCCGGTTTTCAGGAGTTCCCTTTAGTCAGGTGTAGATGTAAACCCGTGATCTGGTGGATCATGTACATGGACCACATGATATCTACTTTGTGTCTACTCTATCATGTGGGTGTGGTGTATACAATATAGTATTCTGAACGAAATAATTGAAAAGATATGTATAATTCAAGGCTAAAAAGAAGACCTGCAGGAGCTCTATTATAAGCAGTTCCCGAAAAGAAGTCAAGCCTTAAATGCAAGACGGCAGTAGATCAAGTAATAAATAGTAGAGACGACACCAGATAACAACGCCATGCAAATGACCCCAAACAGAGTATAGATCTAGATATAGATCAAACCAAACCAGAACAACTCATCTCCAAGAAATCCAAGATCAAGTAGAACGAAACACCGCGCTAAATCCGAGATCACTGCGAGAGACGAAACGGGGAAAAAAAGGCAAGAAGGCGAGGCGACACCTGCGGTGACGGAGTTGGAGATGAGGATGGGGTGGAGACGGGGAGATAGCCCCATCTGTCCTGTGTGTCCTGTTCAGGCAGAAAGAACAGAGAACAGTCCCGCTGTTCCAAGAAACAGACCCCATCCTATTTCACTACTCAACTCCACTCGCATTATGATATCCCTCATACGCCCTTCACAACAACAGTCCGCTCGCTGTTCAGCTTATCAGCGTTACGAGCATGACTCTCCTTCTTGCAGTCCTCCAACCCGCTGCAGGAGTGTGCTTCCAGCATGCGATGTTTAGAGCAAAAGTGGCCAGCGCAGAAGCTGCAGTCGCCGACGATGCGCTGGGCGGCTTCCTTGCACTCCTTGAAGTTGCAACGGGGCTTGCGGGGAGGCATTGTCGTGATTTGTAGAGTGACTGTCGAGAGAGTTGGAGAGGCCGGTTGGAGAGTAACCGACTGAGGAAGAGAGAAGGAGGAGGCGAGGCGCCTGGTTGTTTGGTGGTACTCTCGAAGGGGGTTGTTGGGTGGTCTTTGTGGGAGTTTAATAAGCGCCGAGCCAAGTGCGGAGATGCGTTGGGGGGCGAGTTGGGGAAGTAGATCAAGTCTAGATCGGAGTTGGTTGTATTGATGGGAGTGTAGGAAGGAAGACGGCAAAGTCGTAAAGGGGGGAAGAAGAAGGGAGTACCTGCAGAAGGGGTATATATAGGGATCGGAACAGACGGGAGAAAGCCACAAAAGGCTGAGTCAGTGAGGCGACTGGGGGTGACGGAATGAGGTAAAGTGGAGATTCCCAGAAGGTTCGATAAGTAATTAGTAGAGTAGAGTATTAGATATAGATTACAATTACACTATAGACAATACAGTGGACTAGTCCGTATAGTCTCCTATCTGTGTCTCGGGCCTATACCTCTATGTTCAGGGATAACTATACACGTGATGCTTATAGGTGACCCCCCGAAAATACTTCCGTCTCAGTGTCCGCCACCCATTTCAAGTGGCAACAGGTTCATCCGATATTCCTGCGTCTACGGCGGTATAACCAGAACACCCAATACCTACTATTGCAGTACTACATCATCTACCCACATCTCACATATCTCGCATATCTCACATATCTCCCTTATTTCCCATATCTCCACTACCGACGTACATTATATTTACAGATACTGGATATCACATTAAAGCCACAGTGTAAGGCCAGTGTAAGTGGAGCTATGACCTAAGAGAGAGGTAAAAAACAGGTGAAGCGTCCAATACGAGCAACTCGCAGCCAAGTCTCTGCAGCCGAAGCTATCGGTAAATGCAATGCGCACGGGATCAAAGCCATTCCAGGAAGTCGGGTAACGTTAGTGGCTCCGTTTAACTAACTTCAAGACCCAATGCCTAAAGTGAGGCCGATCCCGCTACCCAATTTCTCTATCTCACATTCGCCTAGCCTTACTGCACATGTGCCGAACTGGGTCACATCGCAATCACACGTTGACTTGATTTACCGGGGCTACGTGTTCCATTTCAAATGTGGAGGTGTGCCTTGGTTTGATATGTAACGCGAGAGAAAATTGGAAACGCCCATGCGCCCGAACCCCTTGCCCCAACGAAAAAGTAAAAAAAAAGGAGACAGGAGAAAGCAAAATGGCGGGAAAGCTAGAAATGAAACAATTTTCCAATCCAATGCCAAATCATGCTCCGGGTTCGTTTGCCTTGCCGGCATCCGGGTCTAGGTAATTCTCCTTTTCTGCTGCTTCGTACTCACCGATTAGATCCATTACTACCGCCCGCGCTTCGTCGAACTCGCCCAGTCCGTCGGAAAATGGCGCTTCTTTTTTGTATTGTTCCAGGAAGGCATTGCGGTTGCGGAATCGGTCATATTGGTGCACGATGCGCTTGAAGAGGGTTGCCACGGAGGTGTGATTGGCTAGCATGAGGCCGCTGACGCGGTGGCCGGGATCCGAGATGTATGGAGATTTCTTGGTCAGTGCCACTTGGATACTGGCTGGGCCCCAGGGGATAAAAGACGCGAGACGACGCTCTCGAATGCGTAGGAGTGACTTGTGCACGTCGGTCGGGTCTGCTTCACCTTGGATAATGTTGAGGATACTGATGTAGCAGCTGGACTTGCTGGGGTTGATGGAGACCATTCGGTTCTTAGGCTGTAGGAGACGACGCATCACATCCAAAACGGTTGTTTTTCGCACTGTCCTGGCTTGGTCGATGTTGGCGCCAGTGAATGGGGTGTATGATGTGAGAAGGAAATGGCTGCGCGGGGTTGGGATGAGTGAGGCAATGATTCCCGCAAGGTCGTTGTGCATGTATCCGGGGTATCGTAGTGTGGTAGTAGATGCCGACATCACTGTCGATACCAGCTGGTTGGTTTGGTGGAATGAAGGCTCTTGCACATGAAGCCGGTCAGCAACGATCCGTGATAGAGCGCCATTGTCGAGGACAACCACGGAGTCGGCATCTTGAGTCAATCGCCGCATGGCGAGCAAGCTGTTGTAAGGACTGACAACAACATCAGGGTTTTGCGTATCGGGGAAGACGGAGTATGTTTGGATGAGCTTCTTGGGGAAGCGATCGTTCATGCGTTCCAGAATGAAACTGCCCAGTCCTGAACCTGTACCTCCGGCGATGGAGTGTAGAAGCATAAATCCTTCTAATGAGTCACTTCCGTCCGCTTCTCGGTCGATCATGTCGAAAATCTCCTCTGATATACCCTCGCCAGCTGCATATCCAGCTCCCCAGTTGTTTCCGGCTCCGATACCTTGTTGTCCGATGAAGAAGTTCTCGGGGTTATAGATGTTCTTGTAGGGACCGGTCTGGATACCATTGAGTACCTAAAAGGGGCGTTTTAGTGACCTGTTGCAGGGTATATCAGGGAGCCTGCTCGCATACTCTGGGTTCCAGGTCGAGGAGAATCGCTCGGGGAATGTATCGAGTATCGTCACTCTATCAACGGCGTTAGCGTTGAGCCACCGGCCGAGGGATATAGTTCATGCTCCCATAAACAAACCTGGTAGAAGAAAACATCCTTGCGATCACCACCCTCTGTCGCAAAATCCGCTAGGTTTCCATCTGCGCTGATTCCATGCTCCTGGCACAGCTGCTGCCAGAACTGGCTACCGACTAAACCGACCGCATGTTAGCAACCTAGTCCACTTTTTCTTTGGTTTCTTCAAAATCAATCGACAGCGCAGGGCCAGGTATTTTGTTGAGGAGCTCGCGGACGTATGCCACATACCGTTGTTGCCGCACTGGCCGGCTTGGATTGTGATGATTTCTCTGCCATTCCGCCGGTATTAGCATTTCTATTCCAGCGGCAGACACAGTCTGAAATATTTGATTAGTTGGGGGAGTCCACAAACCTTGGCATCTTTCGTGCGCAAAAGCCGTCGAGTGTTGCAGCTCTCAACGCGTACCGCGTTGGCGCGGGGAACTTTTTGGCTGAGATCGTCGCCTTAGGCAGAAGTTTGCATCAACACAACATATAATGTTGACGTACAGAGATACAGTAAAGGATGTTTAGATGATTGAAAACTATAACTTACTCTTGCTGATTAACCTAGCTATGAACCAATTTTAAGGACTCGTCTCTCCTAAGTCTCAACCCTTGGTATACATACCACTCAGAATCCAGCTTTCAAGGCCGTAATGAGGTTTCCTGCGCCTGCAACCACCCCATCTACGATGCGCACTCGACCACCCTCTAGAATTCCATATTCCTGCTCACATCCCTCTCGCACAGCCTCTTCCATACCCGCCATACCAGCGCATCCCAGACAAACAGCCTTCACACGAGACTCAGAGTTCCGAAGTAGATTGCGAGTGGCCTCGACGATCCTCTGTCGAACTTCCTCTGGGTCTGTGGTGTGTAGTTCAATGGCAGACAGACCGGTGGTCTCAACACCTGCAAAATGCATCGAGCTCCCGTCTCGATCCCCGTATCCTAATGCGCCCTGGACGCCGTGGATGAGCTCATCCTTCCACGCGGAGCCGGTCGTGACAATGCCAAAGCTGCCCTTTTCTTGGTATTTATGCAATCTCTCTGCGGGATTGATTGGTCTTTCCAATGCGAATCCACTAACCAGAGAAAGGGCAGCGGTGATGGATGCTTCGAAGATGCCAGTGACATATTTGTTTCGCGTTGTTGGGTTGTTCTCTTCCGTTGACTGGATGTCTTGCCTCAGCTGGCCGACAAATGGGTGTGCGGAATAGCATGCTACCAGAAAGGCATCGTAGTATGGAACCAGTTCCCGTACGGACCAACAGTTCAATGCTGAACTGCAGGATTCTTCAGCGTTGTTGATGCTGGCGATTGGTTCATTCTTGACTCCTTTGACCAGGACGGGAGAGTCTGGAGCAGTAAAGTATTCAAAGTGTACATCGGTATAGTTCATGCTAGCCAGGATTGGCTTCAATGCTTCTGTCATGTGCGTGGAGGTGTTGGGGTTGATGATCAAGATACTATACTTCCGCTCGCCTTTTCTCGGATTGAGCGTACATATTTCCTTGACATCGTATCGCCGCTCAAGAGACGTTTGAGGACTCATTTTGAAAATACAAGAGGTGTGTAGAGGCTAAGAAAATACGAGGAATGAATACGAAGGCCTCCCGCAATTACCAGTTATCGGGGTCCTCCGCAGCCCCGCCATCTCCGCTTGACCTCCAACTCTCCCTCAACACATCGACGATCACTATGCCTCTCATTGCACAGAACCCCCAGCCGAGAGTGATTCTCGGGCTGATGACCTTTGGTCCCTCTGAGGCCAAGGGCGCCCGGATCACCTCGCTCGACGAGTACAACAAATGCCTCGATTACTTCCAGCAGCAGGGCTTCAATGAAGTCGACACCGCTCGCATCTACATTGATGGAGAGCAGGAGGCTTTCACAGCCAAGGCGAACTGGAAGTCGCGCGGCTTGACTCTGGCTACCAAATGGTACCCGCACCAACCCGGCTTCCACAAGCCAGACATCCTCCGTGAGAACTTGGAGCTTTCTCTGAAGGAGCTGCAGACTGATACAGTTGATATTTTCTACCTGCATGCTGCGGATCGTGCAACTCCGTTTGCTGAGACTCTCGAGGCTGTTAATCAACTGCACAAGGAGGGCAAGTTTGTTCAGCTTGGTCTGAGTAACTTTACGGCCTTTGAGGTTGCTGAGATCTGCACGCTCTGTGCTGCCAATGGATGGGTACGTCCTACTATCTACCAGGCTATGTACAATGCCATTAGTGAGTATTTCCTCTATTCCTTCCTTCGATATCTCCCCTTTCCTTCAATTACCATGACAGTTTTCAACTGACGCAATTATATCATGATAGCTCGCAATATCGAGACGGAACTAGTCCCTGCCTGTCACCGGTACGGCCTCGACATTGTCATCTACAACCCTCTAGCCGGCGGTCTGTTCTCCGGAAAATACAAGACACGCGATATCCCCGCTGAGGGCAGATACAGCGATGCCAGCTCCACCGGCACTAACTACCGCAACCGCTACTTCAGAGATGCCACCTTCGAAGCCCTGAGTCTGATCGAGCCTGTTGTGGAGAAGCACGGTCTCACCTTGCTGGAGACGGCTCTTCGCTGGGTGCGCCACCACTCTGCCCTGAGAATGGACAATGGTGGCCGTGACGGCGTCCTCGTTGGTGTTAGCAGCTTTAGCCAGCTCGAGACCAACCTTGCTGATCTTCAGAAGGGTCCTTTGCCTGAGGAAGTCGTTCGGGCTTTGGATGAGGCTTGGCTTGTTGCTAAGTCTAACTCACCGAATTATTGGCATCTGGATCTGAAGTATACTTATGATACTCAGAAGGCTCTGTATGGGCCTAAGTAGGCTAGGGCACTGTCTAGAGATATTGTGGGGGCTGTTCATAGCATCATAGCATCTTTCATATGGGGGCTTAAATTGATAGCAATGAACATATTTCATTTTAAGAGGTTCAGCACGACAACCACACACCACTCCAAGCCGGCGTTGCATCCCATAAGCAGTATCATAGATCAAGAATATAGCTGCAAGATGAGGCAGAGCTAGCGAGATAGATGTATAGAGCCAACACCATTTCAGTTCATACGAAGGGTACACTGTACTCCGTAATATGGGAATAAATGGGTCAGCTGCCTAAGAAACCTGACTGAGTCTTCTGATCTAAATAAAGATCTTGGCTCCCCGTACTCTGTATCTCGTGAGACCGTGGAGAATGCCAAGGCATGACATAATGAAACCGCCTAGTCCCAGTACGGCTTGACGTGCGCCCCCCTTGTAGATCACGTGCATATCCAAAGCGGGACCCCTGTGACGACCGCTGAAGGCGACCATGCAACGCCTTTGACGTTGGATTTTCTTTTCTCACACTCCATTTCATACCCAATTGATCCCGACATTCGTTTCCCACTGACTTGCATTTGCTGTCAACTTCATCTCAGACCTATTCCCAAATCCCCGATCCCTCGATCTGTTCCTGGATCGCATGTAACCATACCCTGCGAACGGGGTGGTACATTAGAGCCAGAGCTAGAGCACGTGGGAACTGGTCTCATGCGTTATACTTCGTCGAAAACCGTGATTCAGCCACCTCATCTGCTCGCCCCTTGACCTCGGCCTCTTATCTGTTATCTTTCGCAAGGACAGTAGATCGGACAAGAATCCCTTTGACCACGGAGGATTCTATGCAATAATCAAGACGATTAGCGACACCCCCACCAACGACACTGTGGCTTCAGATAATATTGAGCTCTCAGAGCCGCGGGTGATCTCGACCCCGGACACGGTCCACGACTCCCAAGACTCGGACGACGAGATGGTTGTCAATCGCCCCCCAATGCACCGACCCACGGATGGCCGCTCGCAACAACCCTTGCTCAAAAATGACCGCCATGGTCGGTTACCCCGCTCAAGCTTTGGAAATGGTGACACGGAAGGCCGGCCCATGCTGCACCATACCAGACGCCCAACCATCCGGAGTAAGAGCCCGGAACACGATGCCGCCCAAGCGACTCGCAAGAAATACATGATTGCATCGGGATTCCTCCTACTCAGCTTGGCTAGCTTCGTCATCCAAACGGAGACTGCTTCATACATCCAGAATGAGCTGGGCTGGAAGAAACCCTATTGTATGCTGTAAGTGTAAACACGGAGATGATCCCGGCCACCTCAAGCCCCATGCGCAAACCCAGTACTCGGGATGCAAAAGCTTACCGCCCCTATGCAGCTATATGACTCACGGTTCTTGGACCTTGCTTTGGCTGGTCCAACTCGGTATCCTTCGACTCCAGAAACGGTCCATGTCCTGGGAGGCTTTCTGGCGACGACACGTCTTTCTCCTCCGCACTACTGCGCAAATGGTAGAATCTCAGGATGTGCACCTCACCACCCGCTCTTCGAATCGATCCCCTATCCCCTACATGGTTAAGACCACCGCTTTTGTGACTACTGCTCTCACAATCGCCGGAGGATCATGGTACGTCGCGGTCAACATGACCACGGCCAGCGATCTGACAGCTATTTACAACTGTTCGGCTTTCTTTGCGTATGCTTTTTCGATTCCTCTCTTGAATGAGAAATTGCGCTTCGACAAGGTGTTTTCCGTGGCAGTCGCTACTATCGGTGTCATGGTAGTTGCGTACGGTGACCGACCTGAGAAGAAGGCATCAAAAGGAGGTTCGAATGATGGCGCTCAGAACAGACTGCTTGGCAATATCGTCATTGGTATTGGAAGCGTTCTCTATGGATTGTATGAGGTGCTCTATAAGCGGTTCGCCTGTCCCCCGGAAGGTACCAGTCCGGGTCGCGGCACAATCTTTGCCAATACCTTTGGCAGTTTGATCGGAGTCTTTACTCTGCTTGTGCTGTGGATCCCATTGCCTTTCCTACATTGGTGGGGATGGGAGACCTTTGAATGGCCGACAGGCGAGGCAGGCTGGATGTTGATCATCTCCGTGTGTGCCAATGCGAGTAAGTACTAAATTTGCCCATCAATATAGATTTGTGAACTAACACTGAAACAGCATTCTCCGGTTCATTCCTGGTGCTTATTTCTCTTACGTCGCCTGTCCTCTCATCAGTCGCTGCCCTCCTCACTATCTTCCTCGTCGCTCTCGTGGACTGGTTCCGAACAGGCGATCCTCTTTCTATGGCATCTATCATTGGTGGCATTTTGATCATGGTTGCATTTTTCATGCTGAGTTTCAGCACATATAGAGAAATGAACGAGGAGCGCAAGAAGCATCTCGAGAACGACGAGGTTGAGTCTGACAGCGATGCATAGATTATATTATTGTTGTTGGGATTTTCTTCATATATTGCATTCAGATTTTCGTACAGCGTCTCTGCCTTGTACAGCATCTCACTTTTTTCCAAATTGTCTCCACTTCCTTCTTCTCCCCGCTTACTTACTTTATACTGCCAGCTCTAGACTTTGTGGTTGGTTCTCCTCGTATCAATGATGGGGCAAGCCTAATCCCGAGCTTCTGAGCTTGGCCAATTACACTTCCAATATACCGTGCTCAATGCTTATATACTAGATCGAAGTTTTCCCAGCATGCGGATGCCACCGAGTGAAGCTCATTGAAAACACAAATACTTAAGGTGATCGATGCTAGATTGTGATTATTCGAATGCAGCTTGGCCGTCCTTGGACAAGAAATGGAAATATCAAAAATTCGTTACGAGATTCCCCTTCTTCTGCATTCAAAAATGCTCATTGACAGACAACAAGAGTGTGCAGGTGGTTTTCTGACAGCAGGCACATACTATAAATCCAACCTCATCAGCGTATGATCGGATTGTTATTCGCAAATCGACTTACTGGATAGATTGGATGCCTCCGTAGCGACCACTTTAACTCAGAGTTAGCCTCTCTTGAAATCTTGATCAGCGCGAGGGCTGGAAAGTCTTCCGCCATGGGAATAAAACGAGCTCCGGTGTTCTTCTCATTGCCTTTACTGCAATTACTGACTGTTTTGGTGCAGGTTGGATTTGGAGCCCGGAAACTGGGACTTCCACTTATCATGTACGCCTCCTGCATATCCCTGACAACGCTATTGATTGCCCCCAGAAGTAGTAACCAAAGCTCCCGGGGCACCGCCTCTTGTTTCTCGGGGCTATCAAGTTCACTCCTAGGAGCTATTCTGAGGATCTCACGTATACATAGCGATGGTTAATGTCTCAAGATGAATAATAAATGACTATCAAGAACAACTAGAACTAACTCTCTCTTTCAATAAAGCCACACGCCATCTTGTTCTAGCATTTTCTCAGCTTCGATCTTCTTCATACATGCTTTGATCCTCTGCACGACATGTTCCGCATAGCCCGGTCCTAGCGGCGGTCTGGGCACGGTCATATCCATCTTTAACCAAGGCACAGAACTGAGCCCTTTACACCCCTGGCGCATCTCGTCGATTTCCCTATCGCCGTACAGAGCCCCTGCGAAGACAGCCACGGGTGGCTTGGAATAGTCCATGTTGCCCCAGTTGTGCTCTTCAGCAATGGGAGGGGCTAGCCCTTGCAGCAAGAGGGGAATTTCGACCGCTCCGGAGGTGCTGCTGGTGACATTATGTATAACTAAGGATGGTGTTAACGTGTTAACCTTGAGCAAGGGCTGATTCTGTCCTCGCCTACTTTCGTACTCAGGTAAGTAAAGAGGTTTGACAGCGTTGAAAACCCGGGGATCGGTGCTGCCACAGCTAATGACTGGCAAAGGCGACATCGTGGATGATTTCAGTTTATGATTGTAAGAACGGGATCTTCAAAGGGACCTTGTCCATACACTGGTATTTGTATAATCGTGAGCAAGCCAAAGCTGAACTGAGCTGACGTGATCATTTCGACCCCTCCCAAAGCTCCTTCCGGAGTGTTGAGTTTAACACCGCTCTGTCTTTCCTTATGTTATCCTCTATCCAACCCTCGCCGCTCAGCTTCATCTCTAAGGGCAACACCTTTAACTCAATCTGCTTCTCCGACAGACCATCAGTTATTTTCTCTTTGATATCGAGTTGATTCCCCATCGCAAAACACATTGCTCTTCCGTTACAAATGCCACTCTCAATAGATCCTCATGTGACGCACCCCGCAGCGACCAAGCACAATTTCCTGATAGGCCAACGAGAGCCGACCAGGACCTACTAACACGCCCATGGGCTCCAATACGGGACTAGAAGCAAAGCACTCCGTCACTCGGCCTGAAGGAGACTAGAACCATTAAATCTTCCCAGCTTACCAGGCGTAGGAAATATCGACTTGTTTCCACTCATCTACATTAAAATAGACCGCCACCTGCTTGTAGAGTGTGAAATGGAAGGTGTCTTGGCGCCTTCAGGAAGATCGCCTTTTCTTTAGTGTAATGTTTTCCAATCTGCAAGATCTGAATGTACCACGATCATCTACAGTACGTAGACCTCTGATGTGGGTCCAATTTCGGCTTCCAATGAAAGGCTGTGTTGAAGTAATATTCGCTCAAGTGCGAGGCTTATCTTTTGATGCTTGTACTTGGAGCCAAACTGATTATAGTATTGGCTCATGGACGCAATGTATGTCTGCCAACTGGTGTGGAGTGCCTGGAGGTTCCAAGATTGGCCACAGCCGTTCGGCGGAACCGGTCCGGTCCGATTTAATCCGATCTGGCCCTAATTCGCTTGCAAATTCAATACATCCGACACCCCAATACCCAATACCTCATCTCTCACGAAGCTTACAGTGACGCAGCAGCCCCCTTAATTCTGGAGCCATAATCCTGCACAGCCTGATAATAAGATTCTTCGCCGACTCGTGATGTTGCGGTGTTAATGACAAGGCTATTGGGAAGTCCAGAAGGCCCTCTAGTTTTTGAATACAGCAGTAGACTATTTCGGGAGCGTGAGGAACCCAGCAAGACACATCTACCTGTGTCAGGCGTTACAGCAAATGCCAGGGAGGAGCAAAAAGCACAAATGATGGCTGCTGAAATAGACAAAGTGAACAAGTGGACACATCCATACATAAAAACCGGCGACCCTATGTTGAGACATAGTTAACTGCGCCTTTCACCTACAAGGAGAGGCCAATAGAGAGCTGACTTTGCTGACGTTGGCAAATCTTTCGTCGCACAAGCAAGCAACACCCACAGGGATTACATTCCTTCCACTCTTTGAGGGTTAGCTTCCAAGCAGGATTTTGCACTATCTGATTTTGCGACTAAAATGGGTCATTATCAAAGCTGTAGCCTTGCGAAGAAAATCGGGCATATAATCATGAGTTTCAGCCTGCAGGGGCTTAACAGGGCTAAGGAGGAAGAGTTTAAGAAGGGAAGATTATGCCATCGTTCAAAGAATCGTTCTACAGCTCAACCACGTCGTTCAATACCTTCTTCTCAAGTTCTGTCTCCACGATTCGCAGGTATGAAGAATTGCAACGACTTGTCTGAGATATTGACTGCTCTCTTAGCCCTTCAGGATGCAAATCAACAAGAATCTCATACTTCTGGCCTTCTGCGCCGCCACAGCATCCGCTGTTACCGTTCCCGATACCGCTATTGCCGACGAGTGCAGCAACCTCGGCGGTGTCATGTCGATCCCGGATCATGAGCTCCCCGAGGGCGTTAAACCCTCCGATGTTCGCAGGTGTATTGAGCACCCTCTCGGCCGCGAGCGTTATCTTAAGGACGCCTCTTTGGCTCCCTGGGACGATGCTGAAATTGTCAATACCCCGGGTCACGGGACCCAAGAATAACGCTGAGCATTAGTTAGCGAGCGAGCTCGCCTATCGTGTCTCTCTCTCACTGTCCTTTTCCACAAATAAGTCTGACATATTATTGCTTCCTTCCATATTGTCAAGAAAAAGCTCCACTCAATTTGATACTCGCGACCCTCTTGATGAGCGAGCTACACTACCGCATGATGTTCATGAGCTTAGTCGCATCCATAGGACATTCTCAAACATAGTTTCCAAAAACAAGTACCCCGTCTGCATCAGCATTGGCCCGCTTTATGCCCATCCTGGGCCTTGTTTTCGGCTACATCGAAGGACTGCAGAGCCGTTGATTCAACATCATCGGCGTCTTTGTTGGTTTTCTTTTGTTCGTCATCGGGGTGATCAGACTCAGGCATGCGAGCTTGCGAGTAAGAGCCGGTGCCAACTACCAAAACAGTCAGAGATTGCTATCTGAATATCAGGTAGAGCGTAGGACTCACATAATATTAGATACGCATATTTGCTGGCCACAGGGAACCAAATGGCCACCGCAACAATCTGGCCAAATCCCCAGCCCGAAAAGTCGATCAACTTGAGACTCTCAAACTGGGCAAAACACAGACATTCCAGAAAGACAGCCGCAAGAAAGAGTGACTCAACACAAAATGTGAGCAGACTGGGTAGCCTCTTGATCCATTCGCCCCAAGTGGAAGACAGCAGTCGTTGAACATGTGAGAGTAGATTGCGGAGCCCGAGAGGAGCGAAAGCCTGACGGACCCTGTCAATATCCATCATCTTGACAACATATGGCTGAAACCACAAGATGACATCCAGTCCAAACACAATCAAACAATAAGGATTGAGCACCTGCCAGAAAAAGACGAGCGGGACCCTTAGGAAGTAGTCCTCAATCTGATCCATGCAGTAAATCAATGGCGGCGCATACCCACCACAACTCTCCGGCCATCCGTTGAAGTCAAAGGCACTAAGTTGATCAATCGATGGATCCTCATGTGTCCAATACAATGCGAATTCTGACACCATGATAGTTGCAACAGACAAGAAAAAAATCCAGGCCTCGGTCAGGTGCATCTTCTGGAGGCTCCACATACCCATGACAACGGGCAATATACCGGCGCTAGAAACTATTCCTGCAATGCCGTTATTTGCCCGGAGGGAGGGCATGGTGTTGGATTGGAAGATGGTAGTAGACTTCTTCGCGAGCAAAATTGCGGCTTGCGAGGCGATCATGAAGAAGCATTGGGCTTCTTGGAATTCGACGAGGATCACTTTTGTAATGCGGTCATGCTGGGCGAAGTAATGACGGATTCTGGGGATGACCTTGCCTTCCGCTTGGTTTGTGGGAGGTGATCTCCTTCTGGCACAGAAGGAGATCAGAAGTGGGAAAAGGCGAAATGAGCGGAGGAGAATCCAGAAATAAAAGATTATTCCCAGTTGCATCAAGTAGGAGACGAAGACCTGTTAGTGTATAACGTTATTTAACACGAATGTTATGTGAGGGTAGAGTTGGAATGACGAACGCCTGGTCCTCCAATGTCCGTATTAACCCCCTTACTGACCCCGGCGCACGTAGCATTATCCCAGAAATACTGGTTACCCTTCGTGGTGTTGACAACGAATGGAAAAGATGCCGTTCCATGCCAGTTCCCGCAGCCACCTAGACCAGGATATGGGTTTCTGCAGTAATCGTTCAGGCATGTTTCCACGACATTATTAAATGTAGAACCTAATGTGTCCCCCATTGCGTTGTAGCAGCTGCCGAGATTGTCGAAGGACTGAAAGACATATTTTGGATCGACACACAGTGAATTAGTGTGGTTGGTGGCCATCGCGAATACAGCATTGACGGAAACAAAGACCAACAGAAATATCCTTTCAGCGTCAAAAGGGGAAAGAGTCAAGCTTTTTAAAACCCAAAGGGCTACATGACTGAGTCTCCTTCGTGTGGCCAATCTTTACAGGGCTGAAGGCGGCCCATGAGCTTACATGTAGCCTCTGTGCCGTGTTGCGCGCGCTAGCTTATGGTCAGTGAGACAGTGGGGTAGCTGAATCCACACTTATGCAGTCATCATACTGCTTTAGGCGTAAAGCGCTGGAGAGACCTGCGTTCGCACGATGAGAAGTCAAATTATTACCCAACGCGGAGTCCACATTTCATATACAGTATTGGGAGCCGCACATTTGCGGAAGAACTATATTGGGATCTTCTACCAAATTAAAAATCAACTTTGAGGACAAAGCTAAATTTCAAACCTTAACTACCGGAGAAAAAGCATAATTAAGTGTCGCATCTTCCGCACAGACACAACTTGACCCGCAAAGCCTAAGAACTAGATAAACAAAAGACGCCACTGCAGTGCTTTCGTACAGTGGTAACGTAGAGGTCGTTGATCGTACTCTAACAATTTGTCAACACTGTAGTTTCTCCGTAGGTTGATGTTGAGCCACGTATGGGACGAATGGTCTGAATGACATGTCGGAGCGGATCATCATGGTGTGCATTTGCTCTATTTCGCTGTCGAGTTATAGTTTTTACTTTTTATTTTTTTTGGCTGATTTGAGATTACAGTGTTATTTTTATGTGAGGCAAAGCATCCATAGTGATACCAGCCACTATGCTTGCCCACTGGATATTTGTGTGGAGATACTGGGTGATTTAAACATCAAGCGTGTTCTCACTGTTCCTCGTGGGGAGAATAACAGAGTAGGTCTGGTCAGTGAAGCAGGTGTCAAACCTTTGATTGGAGGAAGATACACACGTCTAGTGAATACCATCCTGATCATGTCCCGGAAGGGCAGACGGCGAATAAGCCCACGCGAAGGGTTAGTCCTTCACGATGTAACATACTATGGCCATAGCCTACTCTATTAGCTTACTCTTGCGGAGATATTCATACCCTATGGGGACAGCTGTGCTACTTATTCTTGGAAAGGAGCTTTTGATTTGGGGAGCAACGGTGCTACTGTAAATGCTAATAACCATAGCTTGGTAAGTTCATGTGAAATGTGATCAATAACAAAGCGGACAGTGCAGGATGCGATGTCTTGGGTCATATCAAGTACTTTGATGGTTATCATCATACCTCTAAAAGGAGATCCGATCAAACTGCCCAACGTGATCTGTTGCCATGAGGTTGACGACGGCATTATGTGGAAGCGCACCAAACATCGTATAAAGAATGCGACAGTGGCTCCTTCTAGGATGCTCATGCTGCAGAAAACCATCATGGTTAAAACCTACGAGTATATCTTTGTATTCTAGTTCACCCAAAATGCCGCGATCAACTACGGGGTCCGCGCCACCGGTATTCTCTCAACCGCTCCTATCAACCTAGAAGACTCTGTTCCGTATAGGACGGTGGTTACTCAAGGTGTGATGGCCAGCTACAACTAGCATCTGTTCTGTCTACTCATAGACCCAGCGATCCACGGGCATAAGAACTCCCTCACGGTCGAGGAATCACGTCGGATGCTCCCTGATTCACCAGCACGCGGCGGAAAGGAACGTCCCCCAATTGCGATCACTGGTATGGCCTTGCGACTTCCTGGTGGGATGAGCTCCGCGGAGGACTCCTGGAAATTCCTGGAAATTCCTGCCGCTGGACGACCCGGCAATGCGCAACTTCTTCGGATTTAGGTATAATACGAAAAATGGAATCGTGGAGACGGAAAACCCACTCGGCTGGACATCGCCAGCCGCCGGGTCTTCAAAATCATCAACGAGCGAGTTGCAAACCCTATGACAAACAAGACCAGCCTCCTCTTATCACTTCAAGCACTTGGAGTTCTGCGCGCACGCGGTCTGGGTTACACGATACCATGACGGTGAATTTTACAGGGTAGATGAGCACACAATGCAATCCCTCGGCAGGGGGTTATCACATCATGGATCCGATCTCGCCCGTCTCTCTCTGTGCGCAATGAAGATACATCGTCGTGGCACACATTGGGAATTTACACATAATCTGCGCGTCGAAGATTGGCCCGTCATGGTTAAGTTCCTTGCGGGAAACCATGCGCTGTGTCTATTAGCTCGCAAACCAAGGTGTGTTCGGCGAAACTCCGGATGGTTCATGTAAGTGTTAATTGGTTCAGGACCTCGGCTCATAGATCACAATCATTGAAGAATCGAGGCAGAGATTTGCTTCTGACATCATGACTCTTGATTTTTGCTTTTGGGTAGTCGGTTATGTCCGAGTGCCTTTGAGCTTCGCACAAGTTAATCGTGCAATTCTCTTTCAAAATTACTATACCGCGTATTTAGTGGCGATTGCAAATCCGCGAATCAGATCCACTGCGTAAATTAATCTCCAATGCACATCATTAGCGCAATCCATGTAGTATTCATGTAACGTTATCTTCATGAATTTTCATGCACTATCCAAGACTAGGAACATTATGTACCGTGAAAGAACGGTGAGCAACTGCGATCCAGGCGACAGGTCACCTTTTTACTGCATCTACAGAGAGTCAGGATCTCCCGTTGCCGTCCCAATAACTTTTCGGACGATCTGCCCCACGGCTTCTCCCCAAACCCCAAAAGCCGCCATTGTTATTGGATCAGACAAAGAAACACCCCCTCTTCGGACGCCAGGGATAATGTTTCACAGCCCATTTGCTTGGATCTCACCCTTGTCAAATGGCGCTAAGATACGTCTGGCGCCACTATTTATATCCAATCTGACTCCGCAGACCCTTTCTCAACAATTCTCGGCAGGAGAGAGTCTATGATACAGTATTCTACTGATAAAGGACTAATTTCCTATCTTCAATTAGGTTCTACTAGTGCAGTACCATTCCTAGGTATAATCTTTTACTCTGTCTCTGAATTCGCCCCTTGGCGCACTATCCCTCGGACCCACCGAGGCAAGCGAGATTTGGATGGACATTTAGGCTGGTTGATTGGCAGAGAACATGTCCACTTTTCCTCTCTGGAGTGTCCTTGTTGATTGGTGCCTGGAGGACCCCAGGATTGACTGACATGCCTGTTTTACCACCCTACAGGCCCCCCAGTGGATATGTTAATGTACGAACTACTGTTACCCAGTGGCAACGAAGTCATGACGTCCTCTACTTTCATTTTATTAGGTACATGTTCTGTATATACTTGTAGGCTGGTTACAGTATAACTAGAGTCACTGCAAAGTTTGCCATTCTGACAGATGTCACCTAATGTGGAATGTTCTCCATGTGCAGGTACCTGTATAGTATCCTTGCTCTTCAGGGAGGAAAAGGGAGCCTGAAGAAAGAGTTGAACAGTGGACAGTCCTAATTTATCCCATTATCCCAGTCTATCCTAGTTTATTCAGTTATTCAGCTATCCCAGTCCCGGTCCTATAGTCCTGTATTACAGCCTCAGGCACTCGTAATTACCCGTACCGTATCCGACCACCCTTTCCCCTCCTGGATTTGTTGTTCTTCTTCTCTTTCAACCTCTACTCACCATCATCCTCTTCCTTTTGGCCTCGTGGCCGTCCATTCCTTTACATCTTTTGGTCTTGCTTCCTTTGCCCGGTGCGGAAGATTCAATGACCCCCTCGAGAATTTGAAGGCCTCCAGGTTCCTAGGCTTTCCAGTCGCTGAAGGGAAGTCAAACGGTCTGGAGGTCTCTGGATCTTGTCGACCATCGACCAGGATTTTGTGGTTACTTCACTAGATTTTCTTATCTGTTATTTTCTCGCTGCGATGGCGTCCCTTTCACTGCCGCCGTCCCAGGGTATCCCGCATTTCGATCATCCTCAATCCAACGCCCCAGGCAATCGTCGCAGCATGGGCACCCCGTTGCCTAATCCCCCATTTGTATTCCCAGCACGGGATCCCGACGCCCCCGAGACCCAATCGGAGAACCCTGAGCACCGGGAACGACCCGCGTTACCGGCATTTTCTTTTAATCCTGGCTCTGAGCAGTCGTCGCATCTTTCAGCACCGTCTATTTCGAACCGAGCCGTTGGACATCGTCGACGTCCCAGTGAGTTTGTTGGTGGCGACCATCTGGTGACTCCAGAAACGGTCGGAGGGGATAAACGGGAAGAGCCTTCCATGGCAGCGCAACCCGGTCTGCCGCCTCCAGGGCCAGGTGTTGGTAGAGTTCCAGGACGTCGAAACCATGCCCATCGTCGTTCAGCTGCAATTTCTAATGTCGACTTGAATGCAATCACCAAAGCACTCGGTCCCAATCCTGGGGCTGGAAGTGCGCCTTGCACGCCTGCTGACCCTCAACACAAGAGCACAATCGACTCTCCTGCGCGACCAGTTTCTCAATCAGCCGTGAGTCTCGGCCGTCCTACGCCCCCTGCGTCTCCTCAATTCCCGCCTTCTCCTTCGATCCCTCCCGTTCCTCCGATCCCGGCTGCTCTCCAAGCGGAAATCGCCTCAAACAACCAAGCCCCTGAGGTTGGACGCCCTGTATCTGTAATCTCACATGAAACTTCCGACAGCATGGCCACAATCAAATTCCAGCAGCTTGACAAGCCTGCTTTCACAGACCGGGTAACACCGCGACCTAATCGCAAGCCAAAGCCGAGGCCGAAAACTGCCGACGCATCTTTGGCTATTGATTTCATGCAAATGGATGATCCAGCGGGAGTCTCTTCGATCAAACGTTCGCATTCCGCAGCAGGACATTCGCGCGCTCGAAAGAGCAAGTCCACGCCGCATCTGGATTCCACCCTGTCACCCGACGATGCCCACTCAACAGACCATTCTCGACCTTCCATCTCCGATGATGGTTCCGAAACATCCGACGATGAAGCGACGGAGAACACGACTTCCGACAAGTCACAGGCCAAATCGAAGAAAAAGAAGCAGAAGCGTGTTCGCTCTTGGGCTGGTTCCATTCTAACTCGCACCAAGAGCAAGAGTAAGCGCCACGCGAAGCACGACAAGCACGAAGAAAAGCAAGAGGCAGGGGACAAAACATCTGAGCCTCGCGTCCTCGCACCTCGCCCTCCTGCTCTCACTCGGACCAATTCAGAGGCTGGATCCGCTCTCGATGTCGATTTTGACAATGACGACGTTGTTGTCATCCGGACTCCCACCAACCCAACCATGCCTCCTTCTGCTCTCGAACCCGTTCAAAATGATCGTCCTTCTGTTCCCCCTGTATCGACCCTCGAAACCTCCTGGAAACCGAGGAGTTTCTATGAGCAGGAGACCGGTCCGCATGACAATATCCTGAGTAGCCCGATCATCGACCTCGATGCTGCACTTGGACCGTTCAACACACCCGACATGCGCCCAGGTGGTCAGGGTGCGAATAACAACAACTTCTCGGTGGCAACACAGCGTATGTACAGCGGTGGAAGACGTGGTGAATTTGTTGGCCCGGAGATGCGTTATCACCGTCGTGCGGAAAGTGCTCCAGTGATGCCCCCATTTGACCGCAGCGCTCTGGGAGCATTCCGTCTTTGTCCTAATTCCACAGTTGAGGCCCCGGATGTTTTTGACGAGGAGGAAGAGGACGCTTTCCTGGCTGCATCGCAGTCTCCCAAAAATGAGCGCGCGCCAGCTATCTCTTCACCCGCCAAGAAAGCAACTACCCCGACACCCGAGGATGATAAGAGGTCGGTCCACAGCAATGATACCTCCGACACCGAGGACACCACTCGTGCCCCTGCTGATAGCACCCCGCCCGAAAATGCTGGTCTTGGAATTCGGCCTAACGATCAATTTACAACCAATCAAGAACCAGAGCAGACACCCGCGGTTGATGAGGCTCAGATTGCTAGCAATCCCTTCACCTCCAAGCCTCGAAGCCCTGTGGAGATCTTGAGATCCGAAGAGCCTGCATCCAAAGGCATGGGACCACCTAGTCCTGACGTCTCTCCTCGCTTCTTGGCTGTCGACAAGCGACCATCCACGTCTCCTGTCGAGTTGATGCCCAACATTCCACCATTCTCGCTACAGCCGGGAGTTTCGCCATCTGAGTCGTCTTTCCCATCCCCGGGTGCTCCCCGATCAATTGCGGCTTCCTCGATGACTGACCGGCAGTTCTCTCACTCTTACCATCACCTTCCCTCGGATTATCCTTATGCATCAGTTGAAGATGTTCCATCTTTGACTAGCAGTGCATCCACCATGACCAACACACTCAACCGCTTCTCGGCAGCTTCCTTCTTCCCGCGTGCACGTCTTTCTACCGACAGAGCAGCATCTTTCTCCGGTGCTGGGACCCGCCGTACCAGCCAGGCTAACGCCTCCAAGCGCACTAGCTTAGCCAGTCTTTCCAAGCTGGTCGGTGGGCCCAATTCCGAGCGGAGCAAGCTGAACCAGGAGGAGAAACCCCCTGGAGATGCTTCTGAGAAGTCCAAGAAGAAGGGCCGACGCCTCAGCCGACTGATGCACTTCTGGAAGGTGAAAGACAAGGAGAAGTCTTGCAGTGAAGCGGCGCCAGCAAACGAGCGACCCCAGTCGTAAGCGCATGTGCGCTTTGGTCTTGATGCATTTTCACTTTGATTTACGGCGCAACTTGGCATAGCGACATCCTGACACATTCTTTTGAGCCATCCCTTCTCTGCGTGTTTCCCATTGCCTACTTTCGACAAGCGTGGGCGTCTCCCTTCAATCGATCGATCTGTACATATTGCACTCTGTTCCGGCTTTCCTGTGGATTTATTTTTCTTCGGCGGTTTCACCATTTGCGTCTCCCAGCCAGACGTTCATTACGAATTTCTTTACTTCTCAAGGCGTAATTGTCCTGAGTATGACCTTGCCTTTTCTTGTCAATCATTTATGCATCTTGTGTGAGTGACGCACGGATTTATTGACTTTCTCTACGATCGTTGCCCTGGGCCTCTTTTTTTCTATACTTTTTCCACTCTTGTTTGGGCTCTCTGCCTGGAATACCATTCATCCCCGTCGGAATCCTCCCTCGGGTCCTTTTCTTTCGTATCTGTGACTTGGTTGTGTATTTGTGTATTTGTGTGACTGTTGTGTCTTCACTGCTACAGGTGTGGATATCGTCGATAATTTGTCTCCCCCAAATAGTTTAGCGGACAATCCGACTCATTTTCAAGAGCGCACGAATCATTTTCCTTGTAGAATAATGCAGTCCAACTTATATTGTAGATATATTAGGGTAATGTCTTTGCGAAGTCCTTACTGTCTTAGCTGAACTAGACGCAATGTATTTCGGTAATGAAAGGAATGTATATATCACGAACCACAAGGGAAGCAAGATTAACTCAAAATCGGCCAAGCAAATTCCCAATCTCTCGTCATTTCCAATTGAGCAAGATGAATCTTCTCATCCTCGGCATCCTCAAACTCCCTCTGAGCAGAAACCAGACCATTGCCATCCGGCTGAACAAAATAAGGGGCATCAACCTCACACTGCGTATACCCACTTGGTATCCTCCCCTCATATTAAAACGCACGCACATGCCTCGCAAGACAAACAGAAGCCGCCGCAACAGAACAGTGCCCATACCCCTTAACCTCAACAATCTGCGACCCAACAAATGCCTCATTAGCCGAGCGCGCCGAGACAAGCGGACAGACAGGATCGTAGGAAGTAGACAGGATTAACAGCGGGTGAGCTGTTTTCACACCTTTCCGTGGAACATATGAATGTGTCTTTGGTATAGCCCATTGCTGTTTCATATAATAGAGCTTGAAACTCGATTCACTGAAGAGGCTTTCGTTTAGCCAGGGTGTGACTTTGTTCAGGAGTGCTTCTCGGCCTTCTGGCCAATGCTTTGGACCGCTAAGGCCGTCGTTTAGGAATATGAATGCGAATGATTGGTCGGGCATTCGCTCGCCGGTGCTGTAGGCTATGAAGGCGGGTGTTGCGTTACCTTGCATGAGTTCGTATAGATTATCCGCGAGGGCGAACCAGCTTGGTGGTTTGTATAGTGCCCTGAAGATGCCGTTGTACCATACCATGTCATGGTTCAGGAGACCGTAGATGGTATTGTTGATGTAGACACTAATCAGCTGATCTCGCAGTTTGACCATGAATGAAAGCACTGTGTCGCGTAGTTCTTCTTTAGATGTCGCCAGCGAAGAGAGTCGGCAGTTTGTAGCGCCGGCTTTGATGCACTCATCGAAGAATCCGTCTAGCACGGTGTCCGTGTCAACCATTGACTCTTCTTCGTAGTGTCCTTCGTATCGTTGCCACTGGTTCACTACGCCGTCGATTATAACCCGTTTCGCGCGTTCCAGGTATAATCCTGCATATGTCTGTCCGAGGAGAGTGCCGTAGCTGAAACCCCAGTAGATCATATCCCGTTGCCCGAGTGCGTCTAGGATGTTGTTCATATCTGCTGCTGTCTGTGGGGTATTTACGTACTTGGCATGCTCGCCCATTGTGTCGGCGCATGCTTTGACGAAATTCTGTGTCCATGCGTAGACTTCGGGACTATCAGTCACCGGATTGGAGGCTCGAACGCCTGATAATGCCGCTGCTGTCTTGGCGTCTGGGTAGCATGTTGCCACGGGTGTTGAGGTATTGACGCCTCGAGGATCGAATGAGAGGAGATGGAATCCATCGCCGACTATTGTCCGGATTTGTTCGCCTCCGCTGTATAAGAGATCGAAGCCACTTGCCCCTGGGCCACCGGGGTTCATGATGAGGTTTTGGGTAGCCTTTTCACTGCGCAGGCGAAAAAGCGGAATCGTGAATGTCTTGTCTCTGGAGTTTTCCAGATCGAATTGGTCCATTGGGACGGTGATGTTGCTGCACTCGATGTGGCTGCCTTTGAGGTCTCCACAAGGCGTCCATGTTATATGCTCGCCATGGTATTTGAAAGTTGTTGGTGCTTGCCTCTGGTATCGTCCGATAAAGAGGTCGTAGAAATCGAATACAAATACCATTGCCATAACAGCAGTTCCTACCCAGAGGAGACAGATTTTGATGCGATAGGTAGCCCCCTGCATCCTGGTGTGATTTCTTGGTAGATGTTTCTCATCCATGGTGCTTTGGGTTCCAATGAGGGCGACTCATGTATGGGAGAAACATGTTTTCGAAGATCGTCTTACTCGACGCGCGTGGGGCGGAGTCGGAGCTTCGAGTCGGAGTCCGGAGTAAGGAGTACATGCAACAACGTCTTTGTCGCGTATGGTCTGACATTTAAATTGCTTGATTGAAATGTCAGACACCATTTCTGGCGCTTAAAATGATGTTTTAGCATGTTTATGCTGTTTTGTGCATTTGATATACGGATTCAATCCTAAAATCTCCCATAAATCGCCTCTAACCCGAAGTTACGTTACCATCGACCTCTATTAATGTATCACCTTACTTCTCCTAGCTAGAGACTATACCTAAATCACTAGATATTGTCATTCCATCAGTTTTCACAAGAAAAATAGGTCATGCCTTTAACGTGAGACGTCTATAGATCCCGATAACGATAAGGAAAAAAGTTCACCCCACATTGCATGAGATCTTCTCTCGTTCTCTCTACTTCACACAACCTGGAAATACACCTATTTCTCAATCCAAAATGCCAGGCCCACGTCAAGGAAACCGCAGGAGATCCCCTGGCCCCAAAGCGAAACCACAACGCGCCAAACAAGCGCCACCCGCGAACAAACAGCACGTCAACAAAATCGAGCGTGAAGCCGCACTAGAGACCCAGCCCGAAAACCCCAATGGTTTCGAAATAGTCAGCAAAATTCATCTCTCGCTCCAACAATTGCTCCTCGATGTATTCAAGACAGCCCTCCTCTCGAACCAAGCACCCGCAGAGTCGACACCTGCAAGCCCAGACGCAGAGTCCAGTGAATCGCAATCAGAGGACAAGAAAGATGAGCCGCTAGATATGAAATCTTTGATTCAGACCATCAAGGGTCTTCTCTATCAGCGGGACTTTGACTCGGCCTTTACTGAGGCGGGTGAGGATTTGTTGCGCGCTTATGCCTTGCGCTGGAGTGCATCGCGCTCTTTGGGATACGCGGGGTTGTTGAAGGGTGTGCTATCCTGGATGAAGGAGGAAGAGGAGAATACCAGAGGTCGTTCTAGGACGTCTTCTAACAAATGTACTCGGGTTGTCTGCATTGGCGGTGGCGCCGGTGCTGAAATTGTTGCCCTTGCGGCCGCATGGAGAGATTTGGGTCATGGTGCCGAGTCACTAGAGGACGGTGTTGCCAGCGTGTCTCTGGAAGACACCGAAAACAAAGAAGAAAATATGCCAGAAATCGAGGGCGCAGCGGGACCAAGTCTCTCCGTTGCCGCCGTCGATATCGCCGACTGGTCGAAGATTGTCGATCGACTTTCGCGAACTATCACGTCGGCCGAAGTGCCGTTCCCGCAAACGACGAGGTATCGCTCACCATTACTTCCTCTCAGCGGGAACGACTTCTCTGTGTCGTTCCGCCGGGATGATGTCCTCACCATGCCCGAAGAGGACTTGAGGGAAGTGTTCATGGGCGCTCCTTCAGCTACACCCTTCTCTTCCATCCTCGTTCCTATCATGTTCACATTGAATGAGCTTTTCTCTACATCCATGCCTAAGACTACTGGATTCTTGCTCCGCATGACGGAGATTCTCCCTGCCGGCGCCATCCTTCTCGTTGTTGATAGTCCCGGCAGCTATTCGACTTTGAAGCTCGGTAAGGGACCAGATGGCGAACCGCAAGAGAGGAACTATCCAATGAAGTTCCTCCTTGATCATACCCTGCTGTCAGTAGCCAAGGGGAAATGGGAGAGAGTTTACACGGAGGAATCGAGGTGGTGGAGACGCGACGACAAGCGGTTGAAGTACGAAGTTGGTGAAGGGGCTGGGTTGGAGGATATGCGGTTCCAAATGCATGTGTATCGGCGCTTGTAGACCTATATATCACGATATGTAAATACCCCATAACGAGGATACGATTGAATCATCTAAACAGAGCATGTCGGAGTGAGGTTTGGTATTGCTACATATCAGAAAGTGGACTAGATCGAGCCACTCCAGTTGCGCCATGAGGCCAGGCAGGCCCCAAGTCGCGGCAAAGATTGCGATTAATTGGTACATTCAATGAGTTGTGAAAACGGGGCCCATGATCCCCGAAACATCCTTATAATCTCCTTAACTCCGCAGACCCAGCAGAAGGCTGGTGCTCTTGCCACCATCCTTTCCTTCTCCACCGGGCAGATAAGTGACGTTAGGGTTCCGGGACAGAGTCTGGGCGATGTCTTTGCTGGCCTCGATGCGACGAATCTCGATGAGACCGCTACCGGCCTTGGCTACGGCCTTGCTGATAATTTCGGCACTCTCGGCTTCACCCTCAGCGCGGATGACATTAGCCTGGCGCTCCTGCTCGGCACGCTCGACAATGAAACGGGCCCGCTCGGCGTCCTGCTGGGCGATCTGCTTTTGCTCGACGGCTCGTGTGAACTCCTTTCCGAAGGTCATGTGGGTGATGGAAACATCCTCGAGGGCGATGTTGAATTGTCCGGCACGCTTCATAAGGTCGGTACGGATGCGGTTGGAGACAGCTTCACGCTGCGTGATGAGTTCGGCGGCGTCGAACTGGGCCACGATTGCCTTCAGGACTTCGTTACCGATGGAGGGGAGGACACGCTCATCGTAATCGGTACCGTATGACTAGATAGATCTAGGTTAGTCCGTTTCCCCTTTAAAATGCCGAGAATCACAAAAAAGACAAACCTGGTAGATTTGGGGCAGCTTCGGCACCTCCGGGCGGTGCAGCACACGGAGCGTCAAGCTAACCATCTGCAAATCCTTACTTCCTGTCGTGGTGGAAATGTTACGAGGCTTTGTCCGGACATCGTAAACAATTGCGCGCTGCAACCAGGGGATCAAGAAATGTGTGCCTTCGTTGACGACCTTCTCTTGCACACCAGACACTCGGTCGAAGATGACGGCTCGCGTACCGCCCTTGACATCGTAAAGGGAATTTTGCACGACTATGCCACCGAGGGCCACGGGAAAAGCCAGCCGATAGACTTGTTGGAGGACGTTGGCCATTGTTGGAGGTGGAGGGGGAGGTGATGAGGAGTCGATGATGGAGATGATGTTCTTTTGCTCACCTCTTGAGGTTTCCCAATCGGGTTTAGTGCTCATCCAAACCTCCAACTTCGCCCGAGCCCTTCGTCTTTTCCCTTCCCCGTTTTGCTCCTCCCAATCCCTTCCCACCTACTCCTCTCTTTTCCCTCGAATCATTCAAAATGGGTGGCTCAGTTGACCCCAAGAACGGACAGTAAGTCGTTTTGTCCTGACTCCTTCGAGTGCCGGGCTTCCGGATGCGTTAGCCGCACGATGCATCCCACGTCAATCGAGCCCCATGTCAATTGAGGTTCTTCTATGCGGCTCAATTGCTTCATTATTTGGCTATAAATATACTGACGCATTTCTTTCTATAGCTTCATCGGCGTTTGGGGAGAGTTCGGTACGTTGACAATCACCCTTGAACCCTTCGAATGAGTCGGAACGCACGCGGAACCTATCTTCGACATGGCCGGAAAGACCACGACCATAATAGAAGAAGAGACGCAAAGCGACATCGCAGGATTAACCAATTCGACTCGATCGCTAATATCGCACTCGCAGGCTGCCCGACCCCCCAGCGCATCGCCACCTACTCGCTGTCCCCTAACCGTCAGCGTCCCTTCGCCGGTGCCGCTCACGCCGCCATCTTCAACACCTTCCGTCGTTTCCGCCAACAGGTTCTCTACGTTGTGCCTCCCTTCGTCGTCGCCTACGCTGCCATGGAGTGGGCCATTGAGCGGTAAGACTGCCCCGGAAGCGACGCTTCGAAATGTGCGCTGATTTGATGACTTTCTAGCAACCACTACTTGAACTCCAAGCCCGGCCGTCTCGAGGCTGGCCACGAGGAGTAAATTGTTTTCTGTTCGGAGTGAGGTTGGATTGGTATAGCAGAGCATGATACACCCAAGACTCTGCACTTGTGGGGAGCTGTATGCTTGTACAGTAACTAGAAAGCAATCGACCATTTGAATTTCCTTTGTCTGCCAACCTTTTCTACGCCCTTTCTTAAGCATATTCTGGCATCTTGAAAGTCGAACTCAGGTAAGCGCCATTCTGGGGCACATCATTGGCCCCGTGAGACAGCGGCCCCACTTCTTGATATACAACTACGCGTCTTGCCCATGGCAATGAAGATGGGAAATACCCAATGTCACTATGTCACAATATATCTGGCGTGAAGAGTTTGCTCGAGTTCAGGGCCCTAGCCCATTTGGAAGGTTGTAACTCGGTCTGATTCCTGGTTTATCCTAGGCTCTGTGCCTTCTCAATTGTCGCACACATTCAGACCTTACTATAACAGGGATCATAAATTTGTATACAGTGCTACTGCTGAAGTATTGAACCGTCTCTACACGAAAGCCTCGAAGTGGTTACAGCCGTTTCAGGTATTGTTTTCGCCCTTCTTTGGCCTCTCTTCACCTTTTTTTCACCCATTTGAATGCTTCAGGTTGTAGTTGTTTGAAACTAGTAATACCTTCACACAATCACCAGTCTCAGGGTCCCAAATCTCAATATCTTGTTGTTTACTGATTGCAATATAACCATCAGGCCAATATAGTAGCCGCACTGATCAATTTGGGGAGTAACAGTTGTCAACTAATACGACCATCTGGAGAGGATGATACGCGAGGGCTGTGACTTGAAGGACCTTCTTAGATTGGTTGCAGTCATTGAAAGTCTCTAGTCTATTAAGGAAACTTGTGTAAATTCCATCCAAGCCCCTTAGCAGTTGCTGCACCCGTTCGAGAAGCTGTTTTGATAAGCATTGCATAAGCTCTCTAACCACCAAAAGAGACCTATGAGAAGGTACCGTCAGCCCTATCTCGGAATATGTTTTAACTTTATTCAAGCCTTCTTCAGAGAGCTGTGAGTCCCTTTGCCTCGTTATCCTTAGCTATTTTGCGGGCTCGGCGACTTGGTTTGTTTTCCTTCAGGTTCGACTCGTGATGTCGGGTGAGATCGCCCATTTTCACCTTG